ATCTATCATCTATCTATCATCTATCTATCTATCATCTATCTATCTGTGTACACGTGCATGTATACAGGTTTGTTTTAATATTTATTGATGTATGTGTGTGTGTGTGTATGTACACGTACACCTGCCATGACATGAGTGTAGAAGTCAGAGGACAGCTTGTAGAACTTGGCTCTTTCTTACCATGTAGTTTCTAGGTACTGAAGTCAGGTTGTCAGGCCAGACAAGAGCCATTATCTTCTAAGCTGTCTCATTGGCCTATGTTATTCTTTTTTTTTTTTTTTTTTTTTTTTGAGATAGTGTTTCTCCATGTAGCCTTGGCTGTCCTGAGTGCTGGGACTACAGGTGTGCGCTACCACACCCAGCTCCCTATGTCATTCTTAAAAAGCAAGCAAATGGAACCGCTGGGGATTAATTCCTGTGTCCTTCATCTTGTCAGCTCTGAAGACTATAGATAATGTCGGTGCGTCAGGTGCCCGTCTTCATCAGAGGAATCTTTGTCTTCGTCTGAAAGCAGAAGCTCTGCTTAAACTCTCCAACTGTGAATCTTGGGAGGAAGCAGTTCGCACTCTTGGTCAGGTAGGCAGTCTGTGCTTTCCCTGTCACCTTCCGGCTCCAGCCATCTCTCCTGACCACGTGATCCTGAGTCACCTCTCCACGCTCTGATACATCTTCCACACTCCTGAACCCCCTCACTGTTTGCCTTTCGGTTAAAGCCTTCAGTAGGTCTCATGAGAAGAATTTCTGTTTTGTGTTAGTGCCTGTTCTCCTATCTCGTTTCTGTCCTCCTGCAGTAGCACTGCTTGTTTATTCACGATATAGGACTTTAAGTTTTTCCTTCAGAAAATGTTTTACAGATTATTGATCAGGTGTTGGCTTAATAGCTTCGTTCTCAAAAATGTAAGGTTTGGTTTACGCATAAATGTTGATTTTTGTCTTTAAAGGAAGACACTGTTTTCTTAAGGCTTTTGGTTTAATTTGAAATTCCTTAGTGAGAGAACATAATGGGCAAATCATGAGTTTTAGCAACATTGTTCCTTGAAGTGCTGTGTGTATTTCAGAGGGTTTTTGCATTTGATCATGTTTCTTTAGAGTGACAGAAGCTGTTGGTCTCCTTCAAGAATTCTTGTTTAGTTGGATATGGTGGTTCAGGCTTGTTACCCAAGTACAGAGGCTCAGCAGAGACTCGGCTGTGAGCTCCAGGCCAGTCTGCGCTGCACTGTGAGACCCTATCTCCAGAAAACCCAATACCTTATTTTCTCCATGTCTCTCCTTATTGTGTATCTTATGTAGATGCCTTATTGATACCTTTCCAATACCTTTCTTCACACACACAAAAACAGAATGAAAAGTTTTTTGTTTTTTTTTTTAAATTGTAAGAGTCCATATCTGAGACACAAAATTTGTAAGTCGAGCACAAAACATTATGTTGTGCTAGAAAGCAAAGAAACTAAAGAACCACACTAAACAGTACAGGAGCTGGCTGAAGGAATTGTGCTGGGCCACCAAGATAATGGTGCACGTACTGAGGAGAAACTCTGTATTTAAATACGTTAAGTTCATGTGTTGTGACACTGCCACAAAGAAAAAAATCAGAACAACTTTTCAAAAATTCGTCGTTGGGTTGTGCTAACAAACAAACTGGAAAGAGTAAATGCATTTATTGGGCCTTCTATGAACTGCTCCACAAGACAGCCAAACATGATAAGGGGAGGAGAAATTTCTCTTGGTTTGAGTAGTCTGTATAAGGGCAGAACAATGATAAACTGGATAGAACACTCCATTTTGTAACCTTTAATAAATGACTAGGTGTAGAGGTTGAGGATCAATGGCTTCCACAGACAAACAAAGATAGTCTCACACAACCAGGACAAGTATACATAGCATGTCACTGCTAGAACATGAAACCGTGATCGGTCAAGTTTCTACTGAGTATGTCTCATGGTGTTTGACATTCTTGCTGGTCCCTGTGTCAGTAGGTAGGGTTAGATACTTGACCTTGTAAAACTGTGACAAGTGGCTTGTATTTTCACAGTTACACTGTAGGAAGAAAGCAGAGATAGAAGGGGACCCTCTAGATTAAAAGGTACTTACAAGAGTTTTCATCTAATTGAGATTTATGTACCTTGGTTGAATTTTGACTGAAATAAGTCTCTCAAATGCCTGATAGTGTAACTTCTCACGTGTGATATTTCAGCATACAAATTTAAGCTGGAGTCATTTGTAAATGACAACCACACTGCCACTCTCACATTCAAAATCAACCGTACAGTTTCATATTGTTAGATTTTCTAGTTGCATCATCAGGCATTTGTTTTAAATTCATCTGGGGGTCTGACGAGAGGATGCGTATACAGGGAACATGGCCTTTGAGTTTATTATTTTGTAGCTGGATAATGAGTGTATACAAGGTTGTTAACCGGCCTTTCGTTTTCTGCTCTATTTGACATTTGCCCAGCTAAGTGATTAAGGAATGAAAATCTGGATAGTGGTGCAACTAGGTAGGGCTTCTGACCACATCCTCTTAGGCCCTTTCTTGTGTGGCTGTTCTTTAAGTAGAACGAAAATGGGGGTGCAACTGTCTGAAGAGATGTGTAGCAACTGTCAGTCATTTTCCAGGTTTCGGGTGCAGATAAGACCCCTGGACTGCTGGTTCTCCAAGGCCTGGCTCATCTGAACATGGGTGCTGTAGGTGAGGCTATGAAGGTAGGTGCTTTTCATTCAAATGGAACATTATTTGAAGGCTAAGAGAAGGTATTGGGGATTTAGATCAGTGCTAGAGTGTTTGCTTACAAAGTTGAAGGCCCTAGCTTTGGTCTCAAGAACCAAAAATAGGATAAAATAAATTATAAACAAACCCAACTAAGAAATAAAAGTGAAAAGCAATTTAAAAATATTTTATTGTATTTTATGGGTGTTTTTCCTGTATGTATGTCGGTGCATCTCATGCCTGGGGCCCTGAGAGGTCAGGGAAGGACTTGGGATTTCCTGGTATTGGAGTTATAAATGTTGTCAGCACCATGTGGATGCTGGGAATCGAACCTGGGTCTCTGGAAGCCCTGAGCTGGCTCTTCAGTCCCCATTGTTTTTAGTGGGATATGGAACTGACAAGTGCCTCCTCCACAGATCATGGAAGACCTTTTAGCCTCTCACCCTGACCTAGCCAAAGTTCATGCTCTTAAGGCTGCGGTTCATTTTACTAAGAAGGACTACCTACAAGCAGAAACATGGTGAGAATCAACAGTGCCTGTGCTCTAGTCATACCTTATTTACTTCTCAAAAACTTGAGATGAGCTTGATAAACGTTCCAGTTTTAGATTTATGTGGCGTGTGTGTGCATGTGTGTAGATATGTACAGGTGTGTGGGTGTTTAATTTCACTTGTAGCATCGGAAGTTTACATTTCTGTGTAATCTGTTTCTTTTTTTTTTTTTTTTTTAATTTTATTTTTCTTTTTAGTTACATTTTGTTAACTCTGTGTCCCAGCTGTATCCCGCTCCCTCATTCCCTCCCCAACCCCACACTCCCTCCCTGGTCTCCTCCCTGCCCCTTTCCAAGTCCCCTGATAGGGGAGGACCTCCTCCCCTTTCATCTGACCCTGTTTTATCAGGTATCTTCAGGGCTGGCTGCAAAGTCCTCCTCTGTGGCCTAACAGACTGCTCCTCCCCTGGGGTGGGGGTCAAACAGCCTGCCCTTGAGATCCTATTAGAAATAGTCCGTGTTCCCCTTACTTTGGAAAACTACTTGGTTACTGAGCTACCACGGGCCACATCCGAGCAGAAGTTCTAGGTTATATCCATAGATGGTCCTTGGTTGAGTGTCAGTCTCAGAAAAGACCCTGTGCCCGGATATATTTGGTCCTTGTACAGCTCCTATCCTTTCCATATCATACTAACTTCCCTTCTTTCATATGATTCCCTGCACTCTGCCGAGGGTTTGGTTATGAATCTTAGTGTCTGCTTTGAAACACTGCTAGGTAGAGTCTTTCAGATGCCTTTTGTGGTAGACTCCTGTCATAAGTTCAATGCACATCCCATTTGTCTTTCTAAATGAGGATTAATCACCTTCGCCTGTGTCCACTTTCTTGATTATCTTCTTTAGGTGTGTAGATTTCATTATGTTTATCATGTCTTGTAAGTCTATATAAGCGAGTATATACCAAGTTTGTCTTTCTCCTTCTGGGATACTTCACTCAGAATGATCTTTTCTAGATCCCACCACTTGCCTGCAAATTTCATGATTTTCTCCTTTTTGATTGCTGAGTAGTATTCCATTGTGTAAAAATACCACAATTTCTGTATCCATTCCTCCGTTGATGGACATCTGGGTTGTTTCCATGTTCTGGCTATTACAAATAAAGCTGCTACGAACATGGTTGAACAAATGTCCTTGTTGTGTACTTGAGCAAATTTTGGGTATATACCTAGGAGTGGTATAGCTGGGTCTTGAGGTAGCACTACTCCTAGTTGTCTGAGAAAGCGCCAGATTGACTTCCAAAGTGGTTGAACCAGTTTACATTCCCACCAGCAATGGAGGAGTGTTCCCTTTTCTCCACAACCTCTCCAGCATGTGCTATCACTTGAGTTTTTCATCTTGGCCATTCTGATGGGTGTAAGGTGAAATCTCAGGGTTGTTTTGATTTGCATTTCCCTAATGGCTAATGAGGTTGAGCATTTCTTTAAGTGCTTCTCTGCCATTCGATATTCCTCTACAGAGAATTCTCTCTTTAGCTCTGTTCCCCATTTTTTAAGTGGATTACTTGGTTTGTTGCTTTCTGCTTCTTTAGTTCTTTATATATACTTGATATTAGCCCTCTGTCAGATAAAGGGTTGGTGAAGATTCTTTCCCAATCTGTAGGCTGTCTATTTGTTTTGATGACAGTGTCTTTTGCTTTACAGAAGCTTTTCAGTTTCATGAGGTCCCATTTATTGATTGTTGCTCTTAGAGCCTGTGCTGTTGGTGTTCTGTTCAGGAAGTTGTCTCCTGTGCCAATGAGTTCTAGGCTGTTTCCCACTTTTTTTTCCAGCTGATTTAGAGTATCTGGTTTTATGTTGAGGTCCTTGATCCACTTGGACTTTAGTTTTGTGCAGGGTGATAAATATGGATCTATTTTCATTTTTCTGCAAGTAGACATCCAGTTGGTCCAGCACCATTTGTTGAAGATGCTGTCTTTTTTCCATTGAATGGATTTGGCTTCTTTGTCAAATATTGAGTATTCATAGGTGTGTGGGTTTATTTCTGGGTCTTCTATGCGATTCCATTGATCCTCCTTTCTGTTTCTATGCCAATACCGTGTAATCTGTTTCTAATCCAGTTTGTTGATCACAATGCTTAATTAGCCAGTGTAATATGTGGTATATGCCTTGAACATGTGCAGTGCCAAAGGTCACTGTGCTTCTTAAAGCTCTTTTTCAGTAACATCAGTTTTGTTTATTATAGTCTGAATCCTGGGGTAGTGACATGTTTAGATTTGGGAATTGTTTTTTAAAATGTTCAATTATTATATGTAGGTGGGTGTTTTCCCTGTATATGCACCACATTTGTGCCTAGAACCTGCAGAGTTCAGAATATGGCATCAGATCTCCTGAAACTGGGATTACAGGCAGTCTTGGGCCTCCATGTTGGTACTGGGAACCTAGGTCCTCTTGGAGTTCCTTATGTTTTACACACACACACACACACACACACACACACACACACACACACACACACTAATACTCCTTTTCACTTCCCTTTGGTGATTTAGTTTCCTGAGAGCACTTGAGAAAGATGCTGAAGTTGCTGAATATCATTACCAGCTTGGGTTGACATACTGGTTGATGGGTGAAGAAACAAGGAAAGATAAAGCAAAGGCTCTTACTCACTTCCTGAAGGTAAACAAGTGCTATTATATTAAGTGGATTTTTGTAAAAATAAAGTAGGTGGCAGATTACTCTTGCTTGAAATATCTTTTTGCATTTCGTTTCTCATAATAGAAGTTTTGTGAGAATGTTCTATGGGGTTTTCTAGGTAAAGATTTAAATTGTGGAAGTGTAAAAGTGTCTGTTTCAGAAATATACATTATAGAAGTCAAGACCTGATGACTGGTAGCAATGCTCTTTTAGTTGATGGACGCTGTAGTTTTATGGTTGCATGAGCCTGGATTTTTAGCTTCCTGTTTTTACAGATGTTTAACACTATGTCTTAAGTTTGTGTCTTCTCACGAGAGCATATTCATTTAACAATGGTGCCAATTTCACATTTTTTTTAAATCAAAGAAATGCCAATTTTACTGTGTATTTATATTCTATAGGCAATGTGGACCAGCCTTTGTGTCTGTCTTAAATGACACAGTAAAGGATTGTTTGGCATAATTCTATACGTTTAATAAGATAGTTTCTTTAATCAGTGTGCTATATCCTTTATATTCACTGAAATGAATTTTTAATTTTCTTTATCCACGCTTTCTTCCAAGGCTGTGAGACTGGATGCCTACATGGGTAAAGCTTTCTGCTACCTAGGCCATTATTACCGAGATGTGGCTGGAGACAGAAGCAGAGCCCGAGGGTGTTACAGGAAAGCTTTTGAATTAGATGACACAGATGCTGAGTCTGGAGCTGCAGCAGTTGACCTCAGTGTGGAGCTGGAAGACATGGTCTGTTCATGACACTTTTGTCTCTTAGTCTCTCCCCTAGCATGTCAATGGGAATGTTTTTATATTTGCTTGTAAGTTACCTTAGCTTTCACTGTTCGTTGTAGGGAAAATGAGAATATCTTTGCAACTTTTTGTAGACTACATTTTCTTTTCATTGGTAGATGCTAAATTACTTGTCACTTTTCTGTGCGTACTTTTATATGGCTACATCCATGTATGCATGGTATTCATATGGGTACACGTGCATGCATGGTGTGTGGGCCTGAGGTCATCGTCTGGTGTCTTTCCTTGATAGCTGTTGTCTTTTACCCTTTGAGAGAAGGCTGTTCCCTGAACCTGACCCTCACAGCCTGGGCCAGGCTAACCGAGCAGTGAACTTCAGGGATCTGTCCATCTCCTTACCCCCATCCCCTGGTGCTGGGGTTACAGGAGTATTGTAACCACACCCAGCTTGCTCCATGGGTTCCGGAGATCTGGGGTTCTGAACTCAGGTCCTTGTGTTTATGTGTCAGGCACTTTACCAGTGTAGCCAACTTCTAGACCTGACTTTATATGTCATTAAAATTAGTTTTATGAGGGCTGGGGATTTAGCTCAGTGGTAGAGTGGTTGCGTAGCAAGTGCAAGGCTCTGGGTTCGGTCCTCAGCTCTGGAAAAAAAAAAAATTAGTTTTATGTATTTCATTGTGAATTTAAAAGATTAGAAATGGGAACTGAAAGTATGTTTGTATTCTTTGCATAGTAGTTCTGTATTTTTACATTTGGTGTCCCTCACATTGATATTTTCTCATTAGGAAACTGCTTTAGGTATCTTAACAGCAGTAACTCAAAAGGCAAGTGCTGGAGCAGCAAAGTGGGCCTGGCTTCGGCGAGGACTCTACTATTTGAAAGCTGGTCAACATTCTCAAGCAGTGTCTGAGTAAGGCATCTTACATTTACATTTGAACGGTGTAGTGTTGATTACATTTCCTTGGCAGCCATATGACCTTTATAAGTGGCCTCCTACCGAGATGCATTTTGAGAGAAAGATAACAAAATTGATTATGATTTATTGGGTGCTTATTGCCTACAAGGCAGTAGAATTTAAAGTGGATGGAGGCATGGACTGTAGCTGAGGGGTTAGCCAGTTAAGTCTTTGTTGGCATCATAACGCAATAGGTCCCCTCAGGAGCATTTAGTTATAGAAAGCAAGGATCTTTGCTGTTGCACTAACATGTGACTTCGGCAGGAGAGGCCTTTGAGGCTTGAAGGGCTCATGTGTGATTATTTTAGTCATTTGGTTTGAACTGTATTTTAGAGTGAAAATATAATTGAGTCAAGATAAGTCATTTCTGAGGTACGTTACTTTCTAGGATGTAAATATTCTGATTTTTTTAATATAAAAATGCAATTTGACTGGATGCATCCCTCTTAGTCCTGTACTTGACGGGTTTAGGAGGGGGACTGACAGGCTGCTGGACTGGGGCAGGCCGAGATGTCCATGCGTCGTGGTGGCATAGAAAACCGGAGTTCTGCCGGATAATAAAGAAAAAAGATTATGGTCAACATTTTCCCAAAAGAGCATTTTGTGCTCATTTTCTAAAAATCGCTTCACAAAATCTTCTTAATATTAAAATCATTCAAATTATTAAAGACATAGGGAAAACTGCATTAAGTGCCATTTTTGTAACTCAGAGGACTTGTGGATGATTTAATTGAATTGCTTGTTTCATATATTCCTTCTAGTTGTGGATATAGTTATATTACTTTTAATTCTCTCACTGTTTATTAAAATTTTAAGTTTACAGGCCGCTTTAAGGGCAGACCCAAAGGACTACAATTGTTGGGAGTCATTAGGAGAGGCATACTTAAGCAGAGGTGGCTATACAACAGCCTTGAAGTCCTTCACAAGAGCCAGTGAGCTGAACCCAGACTCCACATACAGTGTGTTTAAAGTGGCAGCAATACAGCAAATCCTGGGCAGGTACACGGAGGCCATTGCTCAGTATCAGCTGATCATTGAAAAAAAAGAGGACTATGTGCCTGCCTTAAAAGGTAATTTTTTTTAAAGTTCCTTCCTTCTCTTTTTAAATTTTAATAATACTCAACTATGAAACATCAATTAAATTTTCTTCCAACCTGTATCAAATAGCTTGAAAAGAATGTAGTCAATAGCAAGTATCTGAACAAGAATTTATCATGCAGTGTGATATGTATTTGATTGTAAAAACATGAAATTTTGTTTCCTAACAGTTCATAAATAGTAATGTTGTAGAGCTTTTACTTTTAGACAAATAGAGCAAAAGCTAATGGACCCCAAATAGATCTTTTGAGCAAATTTTTCTGATGTTATATGTCTTGGTTGGGGTTTCTAGTGCTATGAGGAGAAACCATGACCAAGGCAGCTCTTATAAAGGAAAACATTTAATTGGGGCTGGCTTATAGTTCAGAGCTTTAGTCCATTGTGGTCATGGCAGGAAGCATGGCAGCATTCAGGCAGACATGGTCCTGGAGAAGTAACTGAGGGTTCTACATCTGGATCCAAAGGCAGCAGCAAGAGAGTGACACTGGGCTTGGCTTGAGGATCTGAAACCTCATTACCAGTCCCCACTCCAACAAGGCCACCTTCCTAAGAGTGCCACTCTCTATGAGACTTTGTGGGCCATTTTCATTCAAACTGCCACACTATGTTTTGGTAATTGTATATTCCCAGAATATCTTAATAATTTAAAAAATTATTTTGTAAGTTATAGAAGCTTACTTAGATTATTTTTCCATGCAATTTGCTTTCTTTTATAATTAAGTTGATTTAAGTTGCTTCTTCAGTATCCCTTCCTAACACTGCTTTAGCAATAGAAGGAAAAACATTACCACCTATTATAATTTAAGTTTATGAGGTTGTTTTTATCCCTTCATAAAACTATCTAGCCTGCTATGTAAGCTCCTCTATTTCATTCCCTAATATTTGCAGGTTTTGAGTTTGGAGTCATTTTTCTCTTTTCTTTCTTTCTCTTCCCCTTTTACCATTTATAAAACTTTTCTCAAGAGAAAAAAAGCTCACTTTTATGAAATATTTCCTGACCCTTGAAGAATTTACTACTTGATTTAATTTTTACTGTATAGTTTGAGACACAGATATTAATGTAAAAGATCAAATACCATTTTTATTATGTTAAATGTATATGATAGAGAGTAACAGTATCCTTAGTTAGGAAACTGACATCTGAAGAAAATAATTAGCCTGTAGTCAAGGAACTCTGTACAGATAACTTTCTGTGAGGTTTAGTGCATTTTTATTTCAAGGGAACCTTGACATTTGAGATCTCCTTTGTAAAATTAGAGGTAATTTTATAAAATAACACTGTATATTTTCTGGGAAGTGTTCTTAAGAAAGCAAGGTTTATTCCGAATTGATTCTCAGTGTTTGCTTTGTATCTTTTGATGACCTTCACAAACTCACTTTGCTGTAGGATTGGGCGAATGCTACCTGATGATGGCCAAGGCGGCCTTAGTGGACTTTCTGGATGGAAAAGGTGTTGACTACGTGGAGAAAGCACTGGAATATTTCACTTGGTTAGTATCACCTTTGTTTAGCACTCTTACTTTTGTGGTAGTGTAAGAAAACTAAATTTAAAATATAATTTCATGCCTATGCTGCTTGATAGAGCAGTTATTAGGACTGTCAAACATAAGAATAACAGACTAGCTGCCTAATTCTATAGTATACAAACTGAATTAATTTGACCCCTGAAGAAAGAGACTTCTGTGCTCTTTGTAGTGGCTGCCGTGCCACAGAGATGAGGGAAAGGGTAGGGGAGGCTCCCTAGTGGAGCCGCTGCTCTGGCAAAGTGTCTTAGAGCTCCGTCTCCTGATCTTGAAGTGGGTATCTCTCTGCTGGAATCGATTGCCACGTGGCGCTTCAGATACAGAGTATGCTTTGCAGTCTTCAGTAGGGCCTCAGTCAGGCTTTTGCATGGGCTGAAGGTAAGGAAAACAAAGCTTTTAATTAATCCTGCGGAGAAACTTGAAGGAAAAAAGTGTTATCTAATAAGAAAAGAATCAGGGAAATTTACATCTAGTATTCTGTAGACGTGCAGTGTTATTTGTGTTACATGACTTTAAAAGCACACGTTAGGGAGCAGGGAACTGGCTTCGTAGGTAAGAGCTGTTGATGGGCAGGGGTGAAGACCTGAGTTTACACCCTCAGCACTCACGCTGAGTGTGGCTGCACGTGTGCCTGTAACTCTGCCGAATCACTGCATTGTCCTGGCTGTCAGCCTGCCTCTAGGCTCAGGGACACACCTACATGTGTCAAAAAAGAAGACAGTGAAGGATAGAGCAGGATTTCTGAAGGCCTCTAGTCAGATGTGCACAGGCATCACATGCGTGCATGCACACACACACACACACACACACACACACACACACACACACCAACAGCTATAACAACAAGAAGTCTGTCCTGGGCACAGTGATGCGTTGCTGTAATCTGAGCCACTTGGGAAGCCAAGACAAGAGGATAGCACTTCAACGGCCATTTCAGCAACCTCTCAACAGCAGCTGTACCACTGAGAACTTCCAGCTCTGATTTAAAAACTTTTTTTTAATTAAAGTTGAAAAGACATGAGTTTGGGCTGTTAGGATTGCTACTGTTTTTCTTCTTTTTTTGCTATGTCAATTTTAAATGTCCTACTAAGATATTGGAAGGAACTTAGGAATAGTATCCTCCGCCCTGACTCACCGTGGGTGGGTTTTCAGTAGTGACTGCAGTGACTAGTGTTTCTTAGGAAGACACTGGGAAATGGATCTTGGCTGGCCTCCTGGAGCAGAAAAGGCTGTGAAAGCGTTCCATCTGCTTGTCCATCTGCTTGTCCATCTGCTTGTGACACAGCAGTTTGTAGTGGCTGGTTCTGAGTCTTGGCCTGAACTGAGATGCTGAGAAAGGTGGAGAGGACGTGTACAAGAATTGCACACCTCCCTTGTGCACTTTCTGAGCTTTTGTTCAAGCTCTTCTTACCTGCTCCTGAATGTAGAGCTTTACATTTTGTTATCTTACTCTCAGCGAAAATCCTTTGCTCCACCAACTCTTGTTGGTACAAATGTAGTTAATATATTTTCGAATCTTTTGAGGGGAAGTCCAAACTTTTATAACAAAGTCACTGCCTTCATTAGCCAAACAAAAGGCACACATTCAGAATATTTAGTTTAGTATCAAAACCAAACTAAAACAGTCACAAACTTGCCCTAAACTAGTCCTTCAGTGTTTTCTAATATTTATTTGTTTTCTGCCATGTCTAACAATTATGGTGAAGGAAAAAACCTGCAGAATTTCTTGCCACATAAAATACCCAGTTCCTCCTGCTGTAATCTTTTCTCGAGCTTTTTCTCTTCCTAGCGTGGAGGTGTAGGGTATGTCCTGTTAAGCCTCACTAGTCATTGCCCTTGGTCACTATGGCATGGAGCTCTTCTGTTCTGAGGACACACAGTCCTGAGGGGCACACAGCTCAGCTTTGGGCGGAATCTGAAAGCCACTGTTTGTCTTTCAGGGCCCTGCAGCACCGAGGCGATGTGTCTTGCCTGTGGAAGCTCGCTGGGGACGCCTGCACCAGTCTGCATGCTGTTTCACCATCTAAAGTGCGTGTACGTGTCTTAGGCGTCCTTCTCGGTCAGCAAGAAGGAAGAGAAGTATTAAAGAAAGATGAGCTCCTGCATCTCGGAGGAAGGTGATTTACAGAGATTTCCAGCCATTGGCATTTGAGTCGAATTAGAACACTATACTCTAAAAGCATCTAACTATTTATTGTTATTTTTCTGCAGGTGTTATGGTCGAGCATTAAAGTTGATGTCTACATCGAATACATGGTGCGATCTTGGAATTAATTACTATCACCAAGCACGACATTTGGCAGAAACCGGCAGCAACATGAATGACCTTACAGAGTTACTGCAGAAATCTTTGCATGTATGAAAAACTTTATGAACTTAAAAAAAAAGTGATTTAATGAAAGATGCTGTTTATACTTTATTTTAACATTAAACCACATTTTATTTATATAAATAAAAAATTAATTTAATTTGACTTCTTTTTAGTGTCTGCAAAAGGCAGTGAGACTGGACAGTGAAAATCACCTATACTGGAACGCACTTGGTGTGGTCGCATGCTACCGTGGTGAGGGTAGAGTAATACTTTACCTTATAAGATACTTGTTTCCAGGCAACGCAGTGTGTTTACTTCAAATTCTGTATGTTTCAGGTATTGGAAATTATGCCCTTGCTCAGCACTGTTTCATCAAATCAATCCAGGCAGAACAAATTGTAAGTGTTCTGTGTGTCTACAAACAGAACTGCAAAACTCAGTGGATTAATTTTCTTTTAAAATTAATTAATTCATGTAATTTGTGTGTGTATGGATGTGTGAGTGAGTGTGGTTGTGTGTGTTCCATATAGAGTTACTGTTAGGAATTGGTTCTCATCTTCCACTGTGTTGAGGCAGGATCTCTCTCACTTTAAAAGTACTATATTTAGCCAGGCGCAGTGGTGCACGACTGTAATTAACGATGGGTTAATTAACTATGTGGGTTGGAGGCCACAAAGCAAGGTCTACAAAGCAAGTCCAGGACAGCCAAGGCTACACAGAGAAACTATGACTCAAAAAACAATCAAAAAAATTATATTTATTTATTGAGTGTGTGTGTTTACATGTGGTTGGGAGGACTACTTTGAGTTTAGTTTATTCTCTGACAATTTTATACACATACATAATGTGTTTTGATTATATATGACTCCCTATGCTCTGACATTCTTCCCACTTCCTCGGATCCCCTTCATCTTCCCAGATTCCCTTCCTACTTTCATGTCTTAATTTTTTGTTTGTTTGTTTTGTTAAATGAACTACTGAGTTTAATTTGGACTGCTTGCATGAGCATGGACATGGGACATGGGGTTGTTTGGTGGCAAATGCACAAGTTCCCAGCAGCTACACCATGAAGAAGAAGGACCCCTCTTCTCCATTAACCATTAGTCCTTAGAGAGCTGTGGGGTCTCAGGAGCTCCTCCCTGATCCACAGTACACTGTTGGTGCGCTGAGTAGTGAATGGATCTTGCGAGATCATGAACACATCTGCTGTGTGTTATGAGTACAACATCCAGTAATGTCAGGTTCAAAAGACTGAGCACCCCTCCCCATCCTCCAGCGCTTCCGTGCTTTCTACCCCGTCTTCTGAGGTGTTTCCTGAGCCTCGACAGTGTGCTGCAGATGTTCTGTTTAGGGCTGAATACTTAACAGTCACTTTATTACTATTATTATTTTTTAGCACTTTAACTAGTTTTGAGTTTGTATTAGCTGCTGGTCACTGCAAAAAAAGCTTCTCTGAATGAGGTCTGTTTGTTTTTAATATCTCTTTTAGAACGCTGCTGCTTGGACCAACTTAGGAGTGCTCTACCTCGCGACTGAAAACATTGAGGTATCATTATTAGTTTTGATACGTTAAAAATGAAATATTTTATGTATTATGTGTCCAGTATGTCAAACATTTGTTGATGGCATTTGTTATATTATGTTGAGTAATGAATATGTAAGATTTATTTTTCCTTCCATGAAACTCATGAAAGTTCTCATTTTCTATTCATATAAAACTTTTTCACCTTTCTGTATAACCATGCTAGCCTTGAACTCACTGGGTAGTAGCCATCCTCTTACTTCAGCCTCATTAGGTAATTTTTATAGATAAAACAGTTCTCTTGTTAATTAATTTGGTAACAATATAAATAAAAGAGTTTACTGTACAACATTTAGGCTGGGTGAGTGAAGATAAGAGAGACAATTAAATATGTTTTAATATCTTAAGTTTAACCTTTGGTATTACGATTTAGACTTTGGCTTCAGCAACTGTTACTGCCTTTAAATGTCCCAGTGGAATTCATCCCGGTTGAGCAGCTGGACCCTAGTCCCTGGGTCATGTTCATGGGCCGTGTTTGGGAAGTCTTCCCAAGCCCAGTGGCAATGCCATAGCCTCTACAGTGTGCTGAATCCTAGCCTTTGACAAAACAAACAAGCAAACAAAGAAACCCTTCCATAATATTTTTGAGGATATATTACTCACTCAGTGTAAAAAATGATCAGCTTTGGAAGATCGTAAATTGAAATAAATTTTAAGATACATTTTGAGAAATGTGAACTACTGTAGCTATAGCTCAGTGAAAGCATGCACACTTGGTATGGGCAAAGCCGTAGGTTCAATCTCAGGACCACTGGCCACAAGTGTTCATGAGCTTTCTTCCTAAAGAAAAGTCTCTTTCCTCATGCAGCAGAAAGCAGTGTGGAATAAGTGTGTTGTTGCTTTTAAAGCAGCGGACAGGAAGTGTGTAAGTTTATAGTCCAAGAGAGGTATCTTTAATGTCTCTTGACTGCCCATTATAGAATGTGCTGTGAACTTTACTTTCTCCAGAAGCAGTCCACATGTTCAGCTTCACTGGTTGTGAGTTCTTACTCCCTCAGTAAAGGGGATTGATTCAGCCTTACTTAGTAATTTCTTTCACATGTAGTTATCACATGGCATGTGATTATATGAAAGTTCTGCAGACTAGGTAATAGAGGCCTAGAGATAGAGATAGACAGAAATAGAGGTCAATAGAGATAAGATAGAGACCTATAGTATCATTTTGTAGGGGACCAGAGCTCTTAACCTGTAGGGGAATTTGTTGTACACAGTATTGGTCTAAGACTCTGTAGTTAAAATATTGCATTCTAATTGTGCTTGAACAATGAAATTTTATATTCATGTATATCATGATAAGTTTGACTTCTTTTATTTTATACTTTATACACCATTGACATTTATGAAATTGCTTGATGTGATATTTGTTTATTTATTTTGTTTTTTTGCCTAGCAAGCTCATGAAGCTTTCAAAATGGCTCAGTCCCTTGATCCATCTTACTTATTGTGCTGGATTGGACAAGTAAGATATACAACAGTTATTAATAAACTTATCGATATAAAATAACCTCACACTAGTGATAGGTGATAGCATTATGTGCATGTTTGAAAACTTACTGCATGCCAACCATGTGATTAGGTCTTTGCATACAGTATTTTAGCTTATCTGTTGTCAATCCTTTGAGGTGTAGCTATTGTTATACTCTTTAAAGATGTAGAAATTTAAACTCAAGACATCCTAACTGTTGTGTCATAGCATAGCTGCCAGTGACTAAACTTGAATCTCATGACTCTGATTATTACTTTGCCTAAAAAATAAACCTGGAACTTTTATTAAACTTACATTTGTAAAGACATACATTTACAAAGATCGTTCTGGTTATTGTTTTCTAATTTTCTATGAAATCTTTGTATTGGGTTGTGCATTTATGAGTATTTTCTATTTTACCTTGTTTAGATTTTTGCAGTGCCAGATAGAATCAGGTTACTTGGTTCTAGTCTGGGTCTGTCACTCATTGTTTTTGCTTTCATCATATCATCTGAAAAGCAGTATTGGGCACCAGGATGACTTGTCTAGTCAAGAACAGTATTGAATTACTAAGTGGTGTAGCAACAGTAGGAGCACTGCATGTATCAGAACACCATCGTCATTGATTAGTTATGTCTTACTGTGCTTTTCTATCTTAGTCTAATTCCAGTTACCTGGTGGTAGAGGTAGCAAGGCAATTTCCTGTCCTTCTTAGGTGCAGTGCCGCACGGGAGCAGGGCATTTTGCACTGCTCTCTGTGTCACTTACTGGACAGGGGAGCACTGGAGTTTGCATTTCTGCCTGATGTCAGTCTCAGGATGAGACTGTTCAGGGTGTGTTGTGGTGCTCTAGGTTAGTAAGTATTATCATAGTTACCTACATGGAAAATGTTTTCTATTTTGACAATATTTTGTTTTTAAAAATAATAATCTCAGGACACAACTCACAGGCTTAGTTAAAAATGGTAGCACTGGAAATGAAGCTTAACTCTGTTTTGAAGTATGGCTAGTAAATGTTCGGTTCTTCTTATTACTATTTTTATTCCTTTTAAATTAATTAAAACTTAAAAATATTTTTAATAGGCTCTTATTGCAGAGAGAATTGGAAGTTATGACACCATGGATCTCTTCAGGCACACTACAGAGCTCAGTATGCATGTAAGAATCTCAATATTCTTCTTGAGAATTCAAAATATCCTTGTTAGGAAAATGAGTAGAGACTGGGAGTAGTGACACTCAGGAGGTAGAGGCAGAAGGATCAGGAGTTCCAGGTCATCTTCAACTACAATGAGATTAAAATTTTTTACTTATTTTGATGTGTGCACCAAGTATGTGCCTGGTGTCCCTGGAGTCCGGCAGAGGGCAGTGGAGCTCCTGGGGCTGAAGTTACAGATTTCAGCCGTAGTGTGAGCTGTGGATTGAGTCTGGGTCCTCTGGAAGAGCAGTCAGTGCTCTTAACCACTGAGCCGTCTCTCCAGCCCCCACACTGAGATTTATTACATGTAATAAGAGTAATGTTGAAAAGAAATTGAGACTATAAGAAAGAATGAACATGAGTGAAGAGGCGCTTTAGTTGATAGCCTAGACTTTGAGAATGCATTGGATTAGTTTGACTTAACCTATGGGAATGGTCTGAGAAGGGGAAAAGCAGCCTACTTGGCAAGCCTCTGTTTTCTACTTTTTGTTGTATTTGATTCTTCTACTCAGGATTAGAGAAGTGGTTTTAAATTGATCTCAATAGTTTTGGTTTTTTTCATGGCATCTTTTGTTAAAGACACCTAAAGAAGACTAAGCTATGACACTATTGTTATTGAAGTATATTTTATTTCTTAGTTTTATTGAAATATTATAAGTTCACTCTGTTTCTTTTTCAAGACTGAAGGAGCAATAGGTTATGCATATTGGGTTTGTACAACTTTACAAGATAAAAGCAACAGAGAGACAGAGCTTTACCAGTACAACATCCTACAGATGAATGCTGTCCCTGCAGCACAGTGCGTTCTCTGCAAATATGTGGGTAAGACACTGCATTTGGCGCAGTATCAGACTGGTGAAATGACTTGCTTCCTTTTTAATTCACCCATCCCATGTTAAATGTTAGTGTTATTTCACATGTTAATTTGCTTTTTTCTTGTTACTTGGAAGGAGTACAAGTTTTAAATCGAAGTATCTTTAAATCAAAGTAATGGCTTTCAAAGAGTGATTAAAACTCCTTTTATTACTTACTGAATAAGATTTCCTTGTAATAATGAACGTATGATGAACATTAAGGGTTCTGAGTTGCTGCTGCTGTTACGCCTCTGTATTCTTCAGTTTCAGTTTGGGGACCAGACATTTTATTTCCCTTAACTTGTATTTCATTTTGGGGGAGAGAAGATCACAATTCTCAAGTTATACAGGTATAGTTAGGAAAGTTAGATAAGATAATATATGTGAGCTGCCAAACCCTCACCCAGTGACTTTAAACTCGCCTATTAACTCCTGACTATCCTGTAAGATACTGGAAAAAATACATTTAGATGCAGGAAACTGGCAGAATGGTGAAACTTATTAGCTTTCCTTGGTAATAATTTTCTGTATTTTAAAATAAAACCACCACTGAGTTTTTTATCTCTGCTTCACTACTTGGCATCAGTGCGGAGTTCTTGGGCATACTGTACAACTACATTTCAGGTTCTTACCTGTGACATGAAAGGGAAGGTGCCTGCTGCTTAGGATATCAGTGACAGGAGTGGTCCCTGAGGGTGAGCACTTGGCAGAGATAGTCGTAACAGAAGAAGCCACAGGATAACATGAACTAAAAAGCAGGAGAGAAAAGGGTTCTGCCCAGAAAGGGTTCTGTTGAGTCAGTTCTCTTATGCGGGTCGTCTGGGCCACTTGAGAAGAAGGTCTGAGTTTGCTGGCATCAGCACTTTGGGACGTTGTCCTCTATTGCAGTGTGCTGATCAGTGTGAAGGACACTGATAAGTCCCCAGAGCTGAGGACGTGTCCACTCAGAGATCTTACTCATGACTTTCCTTACTGTATAAGTAACTTAAAGGATGTACATAAAGAGGTAAATCTCCTAATAAGATGCAGGTAATCGGAAGTGATGAACACAGCACCTTCTAACAAGTGTGTATAGATGGTTTTTAAATGGCAGAACCATTTTCATAGACTCATGCAAATGCTGTGTGCTTGGCTAGGAATACTAACATAGCAGACACAGAAAAAAGAGAGATGTGATGAGAGTACGTATCCATGTCTGTCCTGCTGAGTTTGCAAAACATGGAGCGTGGAGCTTTTTTTTTTAAACTCTTTTTGAAGGTTTTATGTTCTTGTACCTTAGGGATTTAGAGACAAGAAGGACTTTAACTATTTCACCTTATACTCTGCTGTTAGAATCCCACCTGTCACACAAGATTTATATTTGCTTTGTTAAACAGCACAGGGTTATGTGAAACCCTTCTCTGTATAACTAGCTCTTAAGTAAATTAGGGAAGGGATACTTTCCTTTGTCCAATGTAGACAGACAATGCACTTCCAATATTAAAATTGGAAAATACCTATTGAAAGAGCCCAGATCCATTTTTTCTGCTCCTGGTGTGAAGTACTGAATTATGTTTTAGAACATATAGTTTGGAATAGAACCACCAAGAGAAAATTATTGCTAAATTAAATCATAAGAGGTTTAATTGATTAGCCAAAAAGATGTATGAAATTCTGTGAGAACTAATTAAAAAAAATTGCAGAAACTAGAATTTCTTTATAAACGTCAGACCTAGTTTTAATGAGTGATAATTTCAAATAATTTTACTTTAAAGAAAACATTTTTTTGCTTTTTTTATTAAGCATGACAGTAAAGTATATTAAGATAAAGCAAAACCGTCACATGGAGGCTAGACAAAGCAGCACAACAGAAGAAAAAGAGCCCCAAGAGCAGGGACAAGAATCAGAGACCCAGTCATTCACACACTCAAGAGTCCCATAATAATACTAAGCTAATAGCTAAAATATAATCAGTGCCCATGTGTATGTGCGCACACGCACACACACACTCACACTCACACACACACACTCACGCACACACACACACACACACACACACTCACACACACTCACACACACTCACACACACACACACACACACACTCACTCACTCACCGAGGACTTGCTGCAGACACATGCAGACACTGTGCGCTGCTTCAGTCTCTGTGACTTTATATGAGCCTTGACTCATACGGCCTTGTTCTCCTGGTGTGCTCTATTTCCGTTGGTTCTGACACTCGTTCTGCTCCCTCTTCCAAGGGCTTCCCTCAGCTCTGAGGGAAAGGATTTGATGGAGACATCCTGGTTAGAGTTGTGTATTACAAGGGCTTAAAGAAAACATGATTAAACTATAAGATATAACTAGAAAACCACATGTGATTCTTCGGTGTTACTCAGTGACTTAGAAAAACTATCAAATGGTCACTGGCGTATTCAAGATAAAGTAGGCCATTATTCTCAATAATACCACCAATCTCAAGAGGTAATCTCTTGTTTTGGATACTGAAACAAAAAGAGAATTTAACTGTTATTTTTGTGTGTATAGTAAGCATACACAAATTAAAGATATTTATGAATTTCCAGGAAGAATTCAGAATTACGCTCCAGCTTTCTCAATGTTGGGTTATTTAAACGAGCATCTGCAGTTGAAGAGGGAAGCAGCAGAGGCATACCAAAGGTAGGCAATGCTTTCTGCACAGCATTCATCGTGTTGTCAGTATTCCTTTGAAGTTCAGTCTCTTGACAAAAGAAATAATGCAGTTTTGACACCTGTCCTGATCCTCCTTGTATTACCTTGTGGAAGGTGAAAAGATGCAGTTCCAAATTCCAGCTGTATTTTATGTTCTGTTGGCTAGGCGATGGGGGACAGAGAAGGGCAAAAAAACAAAGGCTATAGATTTCGCTTTTAAAAATCTATCCCCTTTAGTCAGACAAGAAACAACAACAACATGAATATTTGCTTGACTCACCTTATTATCTGTTACGTATTTATGCCTGTGGAATTCTGTGTGCCAAGCAGTATCCTTGGCATGAGAAATTTATCAGGGAATTAAAGCAGACAGAGGCCCTATTCTCCAGGACCTCCTCAACTGGAGATACTCAGTAAGCTAATAATACCTGGTTAGTAATAGTAGCTAAGGAAGAGTTAGAGTAGGTCTAGTGTTAGAGAATGTGGGACAGCACATTTTCGATGGAGTGAGAGCAAGTACTCCCAAACAGGAATGGTTTTCCATATTGAGCAAACTGCTAGTGTGCTAGAGGGGAATGGCCAGCCTGGAGCCTGGTCAGAATGAAAGAAACTAGTGTTCTCTCTATGAGGTAATGGTAGGTGAGTGTGAAAATAACTACTGCTCTCATGAGTAACTACAGAATAATGTTAAAAGAGCTGATTGCTTAGCTTTAAGACACAACACTGCTTCAAATATATGTCAGTATTCAGAAGACATCTGGTCAGATGTAATGAAGTATACCAAATACTTAACTTTTGTGGATTCGCATGCAGTTCAAAGGAATAATCACTAGATGGTACTGGAGGCTGTATAATGAAGTTCTTTTTCCAGGTGATGGAGAAACGTTTATAAAACAAAACAAAAACCCCACAATTTTCTTCTTATAATGTCAGTAAACTTAGAGTAATTAAAACATATAATATAGCAGTTAACACATAAGACTAGACAGCTTAAGGTGTTTGCTACCTTTTTGAGTGTGCTCTTGCTATTGTAGACATGCTGACTCTGGCATCACTGTACCTCAGGCTTCAAGTGGTGACCCCACGGTCACTTGATATGTACTTCTCCTTTTCTACTGACCATAGCAACTGTCTTATATGTTATGATGTTTGAGGCTTGAGACACAAATAGTGCATAAATTCAACCAGAAGTGTAGTTTTAATCTCTGTAGCATTTTTTGTGCTACCTGAGCAAATTGTTTTTCATGCAATGTCAAGTAGCTAAAAAGCCTTTCTTAGATATTTCTCCTGTCAGATCCTCTTTAAAGAGAAAAGAAAGAGGGCTGGAGGGATGGCTCATGAGATCTGGTGCCTTCTTCTAGCATGCATGCAGAACACTGTATACATAACAAACAAGCAAATAAACAAGAGGAAAGAAAGAAACCATTAAAAAAAAAGCTTAGCTTTTAGGACATTTCCCCCTTTCCTACAGAGAACACAATGGGAGAAGAAAATGTTGGCTTTAGCTATTGGTAAATGTATTCTAAGCCTAGAGGAACCTCTTATGTTTTCCCTTAACTCATTGTCTTTCAGTGTTTCTGTGTGTATAGCCTCAAGAGCACATGAAAGCATTCTATTTTCTGCTTTCCTACAGAAATATTTTTAAGAGTGTCTTCTGTAAACTTCAGTGTATCAAAATATACCATTGCTATGGTCATTGCCTATGTTTAGATTACAAATTTTAGAATTTCTATAACTCACAGGCAATAATAAATGGCTTTACTTGTGAAGAAAAGAACAAGAAGGTTATTTTTTACTGGCAACTTAAAATTTAAATATATTTGAGTGCCTCTGTGGTATTAACTTACTGAAATATGAATAAGCTTCCATAAGTAGCATTGAAGAATTAGTAGAATTGGAAGAAAAGAATATTAATCCATGGATTTGGCTGAGAAAGAATGAGTAAAACAAAATATTTCGCATAGAAAATCTAAATTACCTTGTCCTTTCTTTTAAAGGGCAGCTGCGCTGTTACGATCTGCCGAAGACCAACATACTTACAATGTTACAGTGAGAAACTGGGGCAGATTATTATGGTAAGGCTATTTTCCCTCATTAGTTCTGGGAATCTATTTCTCAGGGAAAATTGGGGCACTATAAACGTGAAAACTAGTGTCCAGCGCACTGGGATACATTATTCTGAGTGCCAGAATGTGCTAAACTCTCTGCTCCCTTAAAACGTAGTGTGAATGTGTCTTGTGAAAAGTGAGGTTGGAGCAGATGCTTATGAACTGGATGAGGAACGCTTGTGAGCAAGGTGGTCGTTTTCTCTAAGGAAGCCCACTTATCTCATTGGGGAATTGGATTTATCCTAATTGGCTCTATATTTTAGTTGGGAGTGAGTATTGTGGTCTAGGAGCTCCTTCACACAGTCCTAAGGAGTTCAGGCAGTGGAGCTAAGACCTTCCCTTGAGTTCTCGAAGTCTTCTGACTTAGAGAAGGATAGGCAGACTGGTTGCTTCAGGGGGTCAAGGTAAAGCCCGAGTGCAGAGGTTCAGGGAGAAGGTTTGTGACTCGTGAGTGAGTTCTCTGCTTTGGAGTTGCCCTCAACTTGAGTGGTCTAGTTCCAGTACTTTCACTTGAGCTGGGAGCGTTAGGTTCGCCCCTCCATCTTCCAAGGAGCTCACGGGGAGGCAGGAGGTGGCCAGTTCCTTCCTATCACCACCGCAACTGGGTCAATCCATTCATCAATCCAACCGTGGTTGCCTATTCCTTCAAACTGTTTCATTTGGGTAGTAGGTAGAACTCTGTTAATTGCAGGGAGTTGTTGAAACAGAGGAAACCTAGCCTGAGAAACTGTAGCTTATCTTCTCCTTAGCTTTGATATTTCATATAAATTTTTTTTTTTGCAGAAAATTTTACCTTCTGTAGAAACTTGGTCATCTATTTTCTTTTTTTAAAAAAGATTTTTATTTCATGTGACTGTATATGCAAAGTCTGTGCAGATGCCAGAAATGATGTTTCTGCAAGCTAAGTTAACAGGAGTACTGAGCCCTGCTAGGCACTGACTTGGGTCCTTTGTAAGAGCAGTATATGCTTTAACCACTGAGCATTTCTTCAGCCCCCCCCCCCCTTTTTTATTATGAAATAAAATAATCTTGGACACAGGCATATGGCAAATAATAAACTATGGTATGTAAATTGATGAATAGTCGCCACTTGTGTAACACATTAAAATTCTGTCAGTTTGCTTCAGGTTTTCTTTTAAAAGAAAAAGCCATAAAGCTGAAGTCTCCTTACTCCTTTTCCTGAATTTTTTCCCTGTATACATTTCTGAAAAGAGTTTTTATTTAAAGAAATGTATATGCACATTATAGCTTAGACTTTTCACCAAACCTACTTCATTAAGGGTTCTTAAACACCTTTACCTCCCTTCCAAACCTCCCTCCACCCCATAGGTAGGAGATTAATAGGGAAAATGGCTATAGACTTTATCTACTTCCTGATGATTAGGGTCGATGGGTCTTTAGGGCATTACCAAACTCAGGCATCAGGACACCAGCAGTCCAGTCCAAAGGCCAACACCAAGCAGCAGCACCAAGTCAGCCGCGAGACTCAGCTGGAGTGCCCTGAGAAGCTCTCTGGAGCATTGCCCTCTGCGAAGTCGAGTGTCAAAGCACGAAGGTCAGCGCAGCAGTGTTGATGCAAAAAGCCATGTCTCACTGTGTGGGGGCCTCTATATATGTCCTCTCCTCACAGTCCACTCATGGATGTCCTCAGCTGGCCAAAGCCACACACGTGAGCGCTCACAGCAAAATATCACATAACCAAACTGAGACTTCAAAGAAACCAGAAATTTCCACTTCAGCACATATTTACAAAAAAATCCACCTACATCAAAGGATACCCTTTCTTTAAAATTAGAGCTTAATTTATTTTTCATCTTTACAAAAGTAATATTAGAAGCAAAGTTTGCTTTTTTTAAACTTCTGCTTACAGCTTTAAAGATTAAAATGCTTTTATAACACATTTTGTAACATTTATAAAAAACTTTTGGATTATAGTGATAAATACCAGAATGGAGAATCTCAGAAATAGTAGTTTAGATAACATTTGGGGCTAGAAAGATGACTCAGCAGTTAAGAGTGCTTCCTGCTCTTTAGAGGTTGTGAGTTTAGGTCCCAGCATCCATGGGAAGCACCAACATACATGTGACAGACTCACACAGACAGACACATGTCCATGAATTCAAGATCTTTAGGTGATGGCAGCCGAGCTTGTGTGACTTCATGGAAGATAAGCAGCCAGCTATTATGCTACTGTGATCCCTAATGCGTGTTAGTTTTTCTTATTAGATTGACAACAAAACAATAAAATTTCCTGTGTGGAATTTTATTGTGTCTGTATGCCATCCAAAGAGTGTTGTGTGGGTAAGTAGTTTTCAGGAAGGCTAGGTTTTCATTCTTGACTTTGACTAAAGATTTAGAATTTACTGGAGATTCTAGATTTACACTCAGCATATATTTAACTAACAGTAAGCTTAGAAAATTACAATTTTTTTTTTTTTTTTTTTTTTTACAAAAGCCAGCCTGAAATTATTCTTATAACTTGAGATTTAAGTAAAGTTTGTTAAGGTTAAAAAAACCTTAGCTCTTTTTTTTTTTTTTTTTTTTTTTTAACCTTAAAGAGCTAAAGAGCTTAACAGAGTGATTTGAGTTTAGCAGGGGCAGAAATTTTTACATATAATTTAAGAGAAAAAATGTGAAGTTAAGTCATTCTGGTCTACTCTACTTATGGTGTGCCTGGTATTTTAAATCTTTTCAACAACCTGAGTAATATTATATTTTATTTACTAAATTACTGTAAAAAAGGATATGAAGATGAGTCATTAAGAGTGATTGAGTGGGCTGGAGAGATGGCTCAGAGGTTAAGAGCACTGCTGACTCTTCCAGAGGTCTTGAATTCAATTCCCAGCAAATGCATGGTGGCTAATGACCATCTATAATGAGATCTGGTGCCCTTTTCTGGTATTCAGGTGTACATGCAGACAGAACATTGTATATATAATAAAATAAGTAAATCTTAAAAAAAGAGTGATTGAGTGATTATATCTGCATACTTTTGTAAAACCAAAATTAATATTTTTATCTTTTTTAAAATTTTTTATTTTATTTTTATATTAATCACAGGTTGTTTACTTTGTATCCCAGCCATAGCCCCCTCCCTCATTCCTTCCCAATCCCACCCTCTCTCCCTTATCTCTTCCTTGCCCCTTTCCAAGTCCACTGCTAGGGGAGGTCTTCCTCCCCTTCCATTTGACCCTAGCTTATTAGGTATCTCTAGGACTAGCTGCCATGTCCTCCTCAGTGGCCTAGCAAGACTGTTCCTACCTCGGGGGTGGGGAGGTAAAGGAGCCAGTCGTTGAGTTCATGTCAGAAATAGTTCCTGTTCCCCTTACTAGGGCACCCACTCCCACTTGGTTACTGAGCTATCATGGGCTTCATTTGAGCAGGGGTTCTAGGTTATATCCATACATGGTCCTTGGTTGGAGAAACAGTCTCATAGAGGGCCCCCGTGCCCTGATATATTTTGTCCTTGTGGAGCTCCTGTCCTCTCTAGGTCATACTAACTCCTCCTTCTTTCATATGATTCTCTGCACTCTGCCCAAGGTTTAGTTATGAGTCTTAGTATCTGCTTTGATACACTGCTAGGTAGAGTATTTCAGAGGCCCTTTGCAGTAGGCTTCTGTCCTGTTACTTGTTTTCTCCTACTTCCCCTGTCCATCCCATTTGTCTTTCTAGGTGAGGATTGATCAACTTACTCTGGGTCGTCTTTCTTGTTTATCTTCTTTAATATTTTTATCTTAAGTAAGTGTGCTTATTTCTTAGCTCCATTGGTGAATATGACAAAGCTATCCAGGCCTTTAAGTTAACACCCCTTGAGGAACTGGAGGACCTCATAGGTTTTGCACTGGCATTGTTTATGAAGGGACTATATAAGGAGAGCAACAAAGGTAAGTAATCAGATCACTTGAAGCTTTTGCAGTATTTTAATTAGTTAAAATTTTTTAAATGTTATATGTATAAGTGCATGTATGTCAGTTCATGATTGTGTGCCTGATGTTCTTGAAGGCCAGAAGAAGGTGTTGAATTTCCTGGGACTGGAGTTAAGGACATTTGTGAACTATTGTGTGGGTGCTGGGAATTAACCTTGATCCTCAGGAAGAGCAGTCAGTGTTCTTAGCTGCTAAGCCTTTTCTTCAGCCCTGGCGCTGCAGTATCTGCTAAAACCTGACTAGGAGTCAGGAGCCATATGTGTCCTCTCATTAGTATGCTCTCATGAATAATCCTTGAGCTGAGCATCCATTGTACATTTGAGGAGACTAAGGCACAGGCCTTTGTGATGGATATGTAGGTTAGCATTTGAAGACAGATACTTAGTATTCTGTACTGCTTAAATGAAGTTTTTGTTAAGTGAAAGCTTGAACTTTTGTTAGTAATACATTTTTATTTCTCCAAAAATGTTAACTGAGGAAGTTCTGATACGCCTGGGTTCTACCACGGCATGTATAGTGTACTTAAATATTCTCTGCTCAGTGCCTGTGACGATCTGTACTGGGAATATGATTACACATTAGTGCTTCCAGGTCTCCTTTTCTACCTCAGGTGACTTACCTCACAGTATATCTGCAGGCAGAGGTGGGGACTGTTACCTGAAGAATGTAAGGTACCCTCAGAGTCACTGTGAAATAGCTAAACCATGGTAGGCTTTATTCTGTCTGCTTGAAAATAATAGAACAAGAAAGATGGAATTTTAGTCAGATCTTATTTGAAAAATGGGATTAGGAAGGGGGAATTGTCATATTTTGTTAGTGAGAATTGCTTTTATTTTGCTTGCTTTCTTCTCTATACTAGCCTATGAGAGAGCCTTGAGTGTTGTTAAATCAGAGCAAGACAAAGCTCATATTCTGACAGCTCTGGCAATAACAGAATACAAACAAGGAAAAATGGATGCAGCTAAGTCGTTGCTTTTCAAATGGTATGTATAGCTGACTTTAACACTTGTAGATCAGATCCTTAAAACATTGGAGATAAGATTTGAATAATATAAAGTAAGGTTCTAAATGTTTTAGGGCTGTCTAAGTAAATGGAAGGAATTTGACCTACCTTGTTCTAAACTGACAGTCACAGTTGGAGTTAACTATCATGGCTGAATGCATAGCTTTGTATCTGTCTAAAGCTGCTTATTTGTTTTCAAGAATAAGTGACCTAGGGACTCTAAACTGACTTGCTCTCCGGTTGCTGAGATCCTCAGAGAGGCTTTACCCCTTCCTTCCTTCCTTCCCCTTCAAGTTAACCTGAGAACAGGTTTCTCTAAAGCTACCTGTGGGACATCCATGCTTCTGCTTTCAGAACAAGTTAGGATGAGATCCTGTGAGAACAGGGGTATTTATACCATGCTTGCTGAGTTCTTGAAGCTTGTTTGGTTTTAGAAAGCTGGCTGTAATTCCTCTAGTTTGAGTAGTGCAAATCCTCCTCGGAAAGAACCCTTCCTCATTGCAGGAAGCTTATGGTCCCACCGTCACACATGGGAAGACTCCTTGGTTCCTGTGACAAGGAAAACATGGGCTTGATAACTGCCCCTCAGCCCCCAAGGGAAGAACTTCTGTTACACTGGAAATTTCTCCCCAGAAACTTCACTGACCTTGACTGCCTGATGTGCCATGATAAGAAGAGGCACTCGGATCATGCAGATACAAAAAATGGAGAGGTTTCTGACCCTCCAAGCAGTTAGGGAAAGTGATAAGATGTTTTGAAAATGGCTTTCAGTTACAGCCCTGTGTGACTTCACTGGGAAGGGCTGAGAACCCTTTCTCCAGTGCCAGCCTTACTGGGCCCTGGGTCTCTTTTCTCCCTAGACTATAAGCATGCAAGGTCAGGTTCGTGCTGAGGAGACCAGAGGACCTTCTCAGTCTCTCAGCTGTAGCTCCTCTGGCAAGGAGAGGCTCCCGCCAGAAGCCACCCATCAGGCCCTTGGTGCACTGAACCCTGGTGCTTCTGGTGTTTGCTGTCCCTGCCCTGACTGTGGGACTGCCTTGCTTTCCTGCAAAGCGGGTTGTGCCCCCAGGAAACAGCCACCTCTCCCTCATTTCAATCTGGGGAGACAAAGGAGAGCTGCCTCTGAGCTGCCCTTTTCTGACCTTCCTTTAATAAAATAGGATTTTATTAAAACTAAATATCTCACTAAAATTGTTCTCATCATTTACCTAAAACTGAGACCCAAAGAAGACAATTTATATTGTTTCTAAAACTTAGACATAATGACATAAAATGAGATTTGCCAATTTATGCTGTGAAAGGCCATTGTTATTTTGCTCTAGTCAGATAATTATTATCTTTCAACGTAAATAAAATATATATTAAGCATAAAATTGGCTTATTTTGATGAATCTTTAAGTAAATAAATTTTTGTATTAAGTAAAACCTCCTAATAGGTATTAGACCACTGTATTAATGGCTAACAGACTACTAAATGTTTATTTATAGCTCTATTTTAAAGGAAGCGACCACAGAAAGCCTTCAGGCACTGTGTGCTCTAGGGTTGGCAGTGCAGGACGTCACACTGTCAAAAGCAGCACTTAATGAGTTACTGAAGCATATCAAACACAAAAACGATTATCACAGATGCCTTCTCACGTCAGCAATTTATGCACTCCAAGGCCGCAGTGTGGCAGTGCAAAGGCAGGTGTCCAAGGCTGTCCACAGGTGAGCATCATTTGGGGACTAATTCTATCTGATGGGATTACGTTCAACTTTTGGGCTTTGTTATGACTATCGAGTGAATTAGGAGTCTCGTTTTGGAACCCAGACTGCCTTTTATTCTGGTCAGTTGGTGAATCTTTTTCTTTATTTCGATGAAGCTCCACTTATTTTGATACAAAAGTCTGAAACTCCTCAGTTTGTAATATCGTCAGTTCATTCCCTGATATGTAACAATACATATCTGTAGACCAGGCTGGCCTCTGAGTTTGAGGCCAGCCTGGTCTATAGAGAGAGACCCTGTTTCAAAGAAGAATCATATGTTTAATGGTAGTTATCTGTATTTGCATATGTTTTACTTTTAATTCTTATAACTTGTGCTGCTAGGTACATTAACTTTTTCTTACATTTGTTTTGGCGTGGGTGAGTGAGGTATACGCCAGTAGCACCTGTGTGTAACACAGAAGAACAGTTGCGGGAGTTGCTTCTCTCTTAACCCGTACAGCTCCAGCTGGTTATGGGTTCCCACGGATTCTCAGCCTGTGGATCACAACCCCTTTGGCAAACCTCTGTCTTCAGAAATACCCACAGCATGATTCATAATAGTAGCAAAATTACAGTTATGAAGTAGCAACAAAAATAATATTATGGTTGGGGTCAGCCCAAGATGAGGAACTGTATTAAAGGGTCATAGCATTAGGAAGGTTGAAAGCCACAACTTCAGGTAAGGTCAAGTACCTTAACCCACTGAGTCATCTCTCTGGCCAAATTAAAAAGAAATAATGTGCCGTATTTTTCTTAGAGTTCCATCCGCCTGCTGAAAAATGTAGTTCATCCTGTTTCTTTAAATTTCTTTGTAGTTCCTTTGCACACATGCGCTACATTTTCTTCACCGTTTTTTTCTCATAATTTTGTGACCATAACATTTGATTTTTTTCCCTTCATGTTTTAGCAACATAAGAACTCTTAGTGTTTATAGAATATAGTATAATATGCTTTCAAAAAATATAAGATATTTTCAGTTAAATGTGGGCAAATGATATGAACTTGCTGAGGTGTCTAAAAGATTTTAGGCATACTATATTTGCTGAGCTTTTTGTGGTTAAAGTAGCTCCTACCTTTAAGTTGAGTGTTTTTGACGTTTTCTCTAGTAACCCTGCTGACCCTGCTCTTTGGTCCTTGCTATCTCGAGTTGTTGCTCAGTATACTCAACAGAATGCAAAGGTGAGTCATGTCTGTATTTCTGCCTGTGCTGTGTTAAATATATATATGCATATATACACTTATACAAATGTATATATATTCACATGTATGTGCACAGAGAGAGAGAGAGGAGGAGAGACAGAGAGAGAACTCCTCACTGTATAGCTCTGCTTGGTCTGGAATTTTCTATGTAGACCAGGTTGGATTTAGACTTAAAGATTCTACATGCCTGTGCCTTTGAGCACATTGATTAACGGCATCAGCCATCTTAACCCACCTTAAGTATAGTTTTAATATAGCATTTTTCTTTAAAATAGTAAGTACAATGAAGAGAACATCATCATTTAATCAATTCCTATTTGCACAAATACTAGACTGAGTACCCTCCATGTACTTGCAAACTGTTCTGAATATTATGGACACTACAGAGTAGAAGGGCCCTTATGTTCTGAAAATAGAATGATTATATCAATGCCTGTATGAATAAGTAACATGCATAACAAGTAAGCATTAGTGATTGTGTTTTCTAAGTTTCCCAAAATCCTCTTATTTAAAAATCATCCAGAGGTAATAATAAAAACACTCCTAATGTCTAAAATCTCAATATAAGCATGAAGTCAATGTTTTGTAAGGAATTACATACTGTATTTTGTCATAATTTTCAGGTATCTATATTTCATTAGTTTCTGCCATTCACTTAAGTGGTTGGCAAACAATAGCAACAGCTAATTTGTTTTGAAGACTTATTTAGTAATAATTCTGATATGTAAAGTCTTTATAGATTTGTTTTTATTGTCCATTGTTCCTCTTGATTTTTACTCAGGGTAGCTTTAGTTGTGTGTTTGACTGACTATATTTTCTGGAACATTATTTGTAGACATAATTTGAACCTCAGGATTAAAATAGCTTCATATGAAAGAATTTGTACTTGTTTCTGTGAGATGTGTTGGCAGCCACATTCATAATTGGGGCTCATTGTTAGAGCAGGCTCTTCTATGCCTGGATCTCAAGCCATCCTTGGGAGGTTTAGCATATCCTGAGCTTTCCTATATACACCTCATTGTATGAGTCCTGGGCTTGTCCCGCTGGCGGAAGGGCCCATTATTAGGATCTACAAATGGTATAAATGATCTTTCGACTCTAATTTGTGTCTTTAGATTCTGCCCTTTTAACTTTCAGTTTGGGCTTGGTAAATAGCTTGTCAGTTATTCAGTACTTTTAGGAATATGTTTTTAAAATATTTCATGCCAGTGCTTTTGAAATGTTAACATGCTGTTTATTGATATCACCTAGTGCTGCTATAAATGCAGGTTATGACTTAGCAGGTCTGAGGCAGCACGGAGGGTCTGTGTCTAACAGCCTCCCAACACATGTCACAGGTTCTGATTCAGAGGCCTTTTGAGTAGTGGGTTTTAAGCTATTTTCAGTGGCTGCATTGGCTCGAAGGCTGTCAACTGTTAGACACTGAATGAACTGCTCACTATACCTGAGTTACTCTGCTACAGTTACAGATGTGTTTTCATTAGCAATTGTATGAAGTTTCTGTAATTACGGTCCACTTTCTAAAGAAGGAAGCTTAAGGCATTGAGGTTAAGTTAACTTGTGCAAAATCACAGTTGGTGGTGGTGATGGATTTTAAACCCACTCTGGAATCATCCTGTTCTGTCTGTTGTATTGCCATTTTTTCTTTTTTTATTTTTTATTTTTTTTTTGAGACAGGGTTTCTCTCTGTAGCCTTGGTTGTCCTGACTCACTTTGTAGACCAGGCTGGCCTCAAACTCACCTGCCTACCTCTGCCTCCCAGCTGCATTGCCTTTCTTTTAATACACTTTTGTTTTATATTGATACTTTATTTTAGCATTCTGTATTTGAAGTACAGTGTTGAAAGCATTGATGATGCACATTTCATATAAAATGCAGGGTGTAAAATACACGTGATGAAAACTATTGCATTTGCTGTTTTTTTTTTTTTTTTTTTTTTAGAAGAGTCACACAAACATTTTAATTGGTTTTCAAAAGATATTTATATGTAAATAAGTTTTTCCTTCAGTAAAGATTGTTGTGATCCCCATAGGAGCCTTCCCTCCCAGCCAGCTTGATGGAGAATGCTAGGGAGGCAGAGGCAGGAACCCTGTCTGATCTGAAACTTGCTGTTGTTTTGAGACAGAGTCTCATATGGCCCAAGCTGACCTAGAACTCACGGTATAGTCTAAAGTGGCCTTGAACTCATGGCAATACTTTTGCCTCAACATTCTGAGGGGTAGGACTATAAGCATGAACCATCATGTCTGGCAAAATCATTCTTATCTTTTTTTTTTTTTTAAGGTAAAAATTTCAGTAATTGAATTTCAGATATTTAGATTTCAAATTGACCTTCTCAAAACTCTGGTGGTATGTGTGTGCGTTTTTTGTTTTTCTGTTTTGTTTTGTTTTTTTAAGTCTTGACAGAAAGAGCCTTCATGGCACACTGACATTTAGTATTAAAGACTATGGAGGTCTTAAGATTCATATTTTCTTTCTTTGTTTTTACACTGAAGGACTTTATTACAGGAACTCATGCACTGCAGGAACCTGGAGGCAGGAGCTGATGCAGAGGCCATGGGGGTGCTATTTAGTAGCTTCTCCTTGTGGTTTGCTTTTTTACAGCCCAGGACCACCAGCCCAAGGATGGGGCCACGCACAGTGGGCCGGCTGGGCCCTTCCCATCAATCACTAAATAAGGAAATGTTCCCCAGGCTTACCTCAGCCTGATCTTAGTAAGGCTCGCTCCTCCCAGAGCACTGTAGCTTCTGTTATGTTGACGTAAGCCTAGCTGGCACACGCACTTTAACAATCACTTGTGTGCACTTGTCCACCACAAAAACATGAAAATTCCATGACAAAGTTAATACAGCTTTATACGCTTCTTCCTGACTCGTGTGACCTTGACCTGTATTCTGTTCTTTCTCATTACCTGATATCATCCTTTCTCTGCTTTCTGTTTGTTATACTGTACCCCATGAACATTTGTTTACACACATATGTTTACATTGCAGGTTAGGATCCACAAATAAGGGAGAACATATGGTTTATTTGTTTTTTTCTTTCTGACACAAGATGACATTCTCAAGTCTATTTTCATTTTTCTGTAAAAATATGATTTCATTTTTCTTCAGAGCTGAGCAGTATTCCATTTCATTCTGTCTGTCTGTCTGTCTTTGTATGTAGATATCTGATTTTTATTGTCAGTTCATCTGTTCATTGACAGCTAGGTATTTTCCAAGAATAAGCTATATTAGTGTTTATTATTCTTTACTCTCTCTGTTGTTCTTTCTTTCAGTATTTTTATATTGTTAGGTGCCCCTACAAAATCATCTTACTTTTGAGCTTTTAGTATTTTAATAGAAAAAGTGAAATGATCAAACTTGACAGGTTTCCTTTCTTAAAGCTATAATATGTCGATATGTACAGAGTTCACAAGTTGCAAGTTTTCTGAAAACTGAACTTCTCAAATGATTTGAAGGAAAGATTTATTAGTCTTACTGTTTTGTGGGAACTGCATTTGTCTAAACAGTGTGTTTTGTTATAGGGAGGGGCTGTAGCTGGCAGTGTGGCTCATATTCTGGATTCAAATCATGGAAAGGTTAGTTTTTGCTCTCATGCAAAGAAAATAAATATTTAACTTGTTAAATAGTATTAATAAATCAAAATATGTTCCTCATTGCTTTAGGATTTATATCATGTTAAATACAGGCCCTTTGGTTTTAAAAACAGGGAACTGTGAAGAGAATTGATAAACATACTTCTTTGTCTTCTTATTTAGAAGGCATTGTTATATACTGCAGTAAACCAGTTGGCCATGGGAAGCAGTACAGCAACAGAGGAAAATATTGCTCTAAAGACCATTCAAAAGGCAGCTTTTCTTTCTCCAGGTGAATATATTATAATCTATTTCATTAATCTAGATGTCATCAATTTTGCATTTCTGGGTTAAAAGAACACGGTTTGTAGTTTTATGATTTAAGAAATTTTAAGAATGTATTTTAAAGTTTTATATATATTATTTGATTATTACAATATACCAATTGTTTAAACAGGCTGATGAGAATGTTTTCTTAGTGATACCTTATTATCTGTTACTGAATATACAAGTGACATATTTTGAGGCTATTTTATTTCACTTTTTCCATAGCCTGGTTTAGTGTGGTTTGTATTTTATTTCAGTTTTCCATTGGTATGGTTTAGTGTGTTTTATCTTTGTCTACTAAATTGCTCAATATAGAATTTGTGTGTGTGGCTAACTTTGAGAAGTTGGGATATGTTTTGTATCATGTGTTACTTTTCTTGTTTTTATGACAGTACCTGACAAAAGCCACCCAAGGAAGGAGGGTTTACTCTTGGTCATAATTTGAAAGTCCAAGCAGTCTATCATGATGAGGAAGGCATAGTCTCAAGAGAGGCAGCTCAGCGTACTGCATTTAAGTCAGGAAGTAGAGCAAGATGCAAGGTGCCGCTCAGCTCACTCGCTGTCTCTCTGTTTGGCTGGCACCATAGCCTACACAGTGGCTCTGCCACATTGAGGGTATATCATTTCTCAAGTAGAGGTTAGAGGTGTTTGGAAAACACCATCAATGCACCCAAGAGAGTGCTTCAGTGACATTAACAAGATTAACTGACAGGTGTGGTAATGCTAGAAATGTAAAGCACCACCTGGGGCTGGAGAGGTGGCTCAGAGGTTAAGAGCACTGGGTGCTCTTCCAGGGGTCCTGAGCAGTTAACCATATGGTGGCTCATGACATCTGTAGTGGCATGTGAGTCCCTCTTCTTGTGTGCATGAAAACAGAGCACTCACATCCATAATCAATCAATCAATCTTTTACAAAGTCACCTCAGCTATTGTTAATTCTAGTAGGCTGTGCCGTATTTATGCCTTTGACCGTGTAGGTAGTGAGGAATTGCATTTTACCACCCCAGTGTGTTTCCGTTGTTACTACTGGAAAATGTTAAATGGCTAGAAGGCCACGTTCTATAGGGTTGTATGAAGTTTTACAGTTTTGTCTTAAATATGAAATACAGCTTCACACAGTTGTCTATTTCAGGGATATGTAATCACAGAAGCAGCATTCACTCAGCATTCTGAAATATCTTTCATGCTTTTCTGTTAGAACATATATTCAGTGTTGTATTTTTCCTTTGATTGTTACTTTTATTAAGAACCAAAAACCAAAACCAAAATGTGCTTATTTATCCTTAAACTAAGCCTTTGAAACAGGAACAGAGTAATAAAGATGAGTGTCTTCTTGAAACCAATTGCACTTTCCATAACAGCACAGTACTTTAGGAATTGAGCCAACCAGCTGTGGGACAGGAACTTAGACTAATTCTTCTATGAGATGTTCAGAATATTTACAAATCTTGAAGATTAGATATGCAAGTTAGCTTTCCTTTAAGGAAGTGAATATTTTTCTTAAGATATAACTACTTTTTCTTGGGAAAGGCATAAACTTCTATTTATGATAGTTTTGCAACTGCATGTTGAAATGAACAAGCCTTCTAACTGTATTTCTTGTTTAGATGACCCTGCTGTCTGGGCTGGGCTGATGGCAGCCTGCCATGCTGATGATAAACTGGCTTTGGTCAGCCACTCGCAGCCAAAAAGAGTAGATCCGTACTTGGCATTGCTTTCTGCTGTGTCTGCCTCACGTAAGATTTATTTTTATGTATTTACATGAAAAAATTTAATTGCATACAATATTTTTTATCATACTCTCATCCTTCTGTCAAGTCCTCCCAGATCCTACCTACGTTCCCACCCAATTTTATCTTCTTTCTCTCTAACGAAACAAAACAAAACAAAAAACAAGAAAAGAAAACCCTGAAATGACAAAAAATACCAAGCCATAACAACAACAAAGAAAAACAAAACAAAAAACCATGAAGTCCGTTCTTTCTTGGTCAACTGTTCCTGAGCATGGGTCATTCTCTGGAGTGGGGTTGATTTGCCCAGTGTCACTCCACTGGAGAAAACTGCTCTTCCAGCAGGTACCAATTGTAAATAGCTTTTTGGTTAGGGGTCTGACTTTGTGCCTCCTTCCCCTTATCTGTGCTGTGATTTTGTCTGACTTTAAATTTGTTTAGGTCTTGTGCATGCTGTCACAGTCTCTGTGGATTCATATTTGCATCAACCCTGTTTTTTTCCTTGGCGCCATCTACTACCTCTGGTTCTTAGAATCTTTTTGTGTCCCTTTTTACAGTGATCTCTGAACCTTTAGGGCAGAAGTTCAATAAGGACACCTCATTAAGAGCTGAGTGCTCCGAGGTCTCTTGCTGTCTATACATTGTCCAGTTGTGGGTTTCTGTGTTAAGTACTATCTACTGCAAAAAGAAGCTTCTCTGGAGAAGGCTGAATAATGTACACTGATCTATGGGTATAGTGATAAGCTATTAGGAGTCAGTTTGTTCAATTGTGCATTTAGCAGAATAATAGTAGTAGGTTTTTTTCCTAGGACTCACCACATCCCCAGTCTTATGTTTGGGGCTCACTAACAGTGTCCGGTGTGGATTCCATTTCATGAGGTAGGCCTTAAATCCATTTTTAAAGGAGTGGTTAGTTACCCCCACAATATTTGTGCTTCTATTACATCAGTATATCTTATAGGCCACAGGGCTTAGCCTGGTGAAATGATGATTACTTTTCTCCTCTGGTATTGTAAATAGTACTTTCCTGCACTATGCATTCTAGCCAGTAGAGGTAAAGATTCCAGTTGGACAATAGCTCCATTTCTCCTTGCTTGATAACACAGGTAAGTGGTGTCTTCAGCAAGAGGGCCTTGCTGTCCTTTTGTAGAGGGTAACCAATAGTACTAGCACCCTGTAATATTTGAGGGGTTGATCTACGGGCCAATGACTCAATAAAATGTAATCCTTTCCTGGTGCTGTGCGCTTTAATTGGTGGCATCTGCTGTCTGGTTGGGGCATTCTCTTCTCCCATTATATGGTAACTCCATTTAAATTTCTTTTACATTAGGGATCTTTTAGAGTAGTAAGTTTCCATATGGCTTTCCAAAACCTTTAGTGTTAGTTATTTCTTCCCATGTTCCCTCCTTTACCCTGCCTTCCCAATCTCTAGTCTGAAGTAGAATACGGTAGAAAATAGATACCTATTCATTGATTTATTTGTTGATTTCCTGAAAACACTGTTTGTACTGCCCTTTTGGGAAGCATGGCTTAATTTGCTAACTGAAATAGCATTCTGGAGAAAAGCTGAAATAATGGGTTGTTGCCCTTAACAACCTGCTGGCTGCCAAGTACATTTCTGTAAAATCTTGCTGGTTTGCCCATCGACCTTGTGTTTTAGAGGCTAAAAATGGGAATATAAACTGGATGCAAAACTGAAGCCTTTCAGGAGCTATCCTGGCTTCAGTCACACCTGCTCTGTTCCACTCTCACTGGTATGGTAGTGCTTTTGCCAGAAGGGGTTCTACAACATTCCCATTTCAAATAACTTGTAAAAAGCATTTGTATATATGGTTTAATTCAGATTTCACCAATGATTAAATCAAGAACATATACAGTGTTTCTATTCATGGTAATAAAAATGTATTTCATTTTCTCAAACTTGATTGAATGACACTGTTGCTGTCATTTTTGAGTCAACTGTTACATATTAGTAAACCAATAAAGGATACAAAGCCTTTTATGTAACTCTGAATTTTGATCAATGACTGTTATAACTTCCTTCCTCTCTAATTTTCATTTCACATTCTTGCAAAGTAGGTCCACTGACAACATAGTCATTCAATTTTTGTTTGAGAAAGCCTTTTTTTTTTTTTTTTAAGGATTTTTTTTCAGGGTACAGAATTGTAATTTCTCTCTTCTTTGTTAAAACTTTAAATATTTTATTCTCTTCTCTAGTTTCTGAGGAGAAGTTGGATATGGTCTTATCTCTCTTTTTCCCTTCTGACTTCTTGGTGGAGTGTTGACTTATCTTTGATTGTCTATGGTTTGAAGATAATGTAGCTGGATATAGTTGGGAGGATTTGTTTTTTTGGCTGGTGCTCATCTTTCTCAGTGTTTTCTGAGCTCCCTGACTGGTGATTGTGTCCATTGTTAATTTGGGGAAAATCTTTGTCATTATGGTTCTAAATATGTTCTCTTTTCTGGAATTCCCATTAGCTTTACTTAGATCTTTTGTAGCTGTCCTGTAGTTATTGAAAATTCCATTCTATTACAGTCAGTATATTTTTTTTCTTTTTGCTTTACTATTTGGATGATTTCAGTTCAGATATCTGAAGTTCAGAAATTCTTTTTTGTCTTCTTTTTTATTAATTTATTTTTTATTAATTACAATTTATTCACTTTGTATCCTAGCTGTAGCTCCCTTCCTTGTCCCCTCCCAATTTCACTTTCCCTCCCTCTTCTGCTCTCTGTCCCTCTCCCAGTCCCCTGATAGGGAGGACCTCCTCCCCTTCCATCTGACCCTAGCCTATCAGGTCTCATCAGGACTGGCTGCATTGTCTTCCTCTGTGGCCTAGTAAGGGTGCTCCTCCATCAGGTGGAGATGATCAAAGAGCCAGCCACTGAGTTCATGTTAGAGACAGTCCCAGTTCCCCTTATTAGGGAAGCCACTTTCAGAAATTATTTTCCCAGCAATCTCCAGTCTGTCAGTAACCTGTCATGAACACTCTATTCTTTTTGTAGTTTTGATTTCTGTGTTTTGTTGTGTCTGGGTTTTTCAGAGTCTGTGTTGCTCTTCTCTTGTATGTTGCCTGCTTAATTAATGGAAGCTTTACCATATTAATAATATCTGTTTAGTTCTAGCATCCCTACCATATTCCAGCATTAGTGCAGCGCTGATTATCTTTTTCGCTTGAACGCCTTTTTTCTTTATAGCTTTGTCAGGGCTAATGTAACTGTTGTAAGCCTTTGACAATGTGGTGGTAAGGTGGGGGTGGGGCACACTCGGAGGTCCTGTGAGTGAGTAGTTGCTGTCCCAGAGAGCCTGTGACTCTAATCTGTGACTACCACCGTCTTCTCAGTCTGTCCTTTACCCTCACTGTGGTAGAATAGGCTGCCTACAGCTGGCTACATTTGTCTTATGAATAGGAAGCCTAATAAGTTCCCCATCTTTTGCCAACAAACAACAAAATGTTAACTGGGAAATTCTTAAATATTTGGAAAACAGTAAACTTCCAAATAAATCAGACTAAATAATAAGTCCAAAAGAAAATTAGGAAATATTTTTAAGTGAGTTGGTATCCACGGTGTGTCAAAACTGTATAACATGACTAAAATACAGTTTAGAGGAAATATATAACATTAAATGGTTACATTAGGAAACATGAAAAACTTCCCTTAAATTAATGATGTCAACTTCTGTCTTAGGACTCTAAAAAAAAAAAAAGATAAGTTAAGCCCAGAGCAAGATGAAAAAAGAAAATGATAAAGGTAAAATAGAAATCTGTTAGATAAAAGAGAAAAATCAAGAAAATTTTTAAAATGTGGGTTTTATATTTATCACCCTGCACTAAACTAAAGTCTAAGTGAATCAATAACCTCAACATAAAACAAGATACTCTAAATCTATTAAATGAAAAAGTGGGGAAGAGCCTTGATCCCATTGGCATGGGAGACAACTTCCTGAACAGAACACCAACAGCACAGGCTCTAAGAGCAACAATCAATAAATGGGACCTCATGAAAATGAAAAGCTATAAAACAAAGGACACTGTCCTCAGAACAAAATGACAGCCTACGGATTAGGAAAGGATCTTCACCAACCCTATATCTGACAGAGGGCTACTATCCAGGATATATAAAGAACTTAAGAAATTTAACACCAACAAACCAAATAATCCAATTTAAAAATGGGGTACAGAGCTAATCAAAGAATTCTCAACAGAGGAATATCGAATGGTGGAAAACCATTTAAAGAAATGCTCAACCTCTGAAGTGATCAGGGAAATGCAAATCAAAATGACTCTAAGAATCCATCTTATACCCATCAGAATGGCTAAGATCAAAAACTCAAGTGATAGCACACACTGGCAGAGGATATAGAGGAAGGGCAACCCTCCTCCATTGCTGGTGGGAGTGCAAACTTGTACAATCACTTTGGAAATCAATCTGACACTTTCTCAGACAATTGGGAATAGTGCTACCTCAAGACCCAGCTATACCACTTCTGGACCTATACCCAAAAGATGCCCCACCATATAACAAGGACATTTGCTCAACTATGTTCATAGAAGCTTTATTCATAATGCCCAGAATCTGGAAACAACCCAGATGTCCTTCAACTGAGGGGACAGGAGCTCCATATGAAGCCCAACAGAGCCAACAAATCTGGGCCCAGGGGACCCTGCAGAGACTGATGCAACAACCAAGGACCATGCATGAAGAGGACTTAGACCCCCTGCTCAGATGTAGCCAGTAAGCAGCTCAATCTCCATGTGGGTCCTCTAGTAAGGAGAGCAGGAGTTATCTCTGACATGGACTGTGTAGCCTGCTCTTTTATTACTTCCCCCTGGTGGGGGCCCATTGCCAGACCACAGAGGAAGAGGATGCAGGCAGTCCTACTGAGACTTGATAGGCTGCTGTCAGATGGTAGGGGAGAAAGGCTCCCTCTTTTGAAAATAAGGGAGGGGAATAGGGGGGAAGAGAGAGGAAGGGTGGGATCATGAGAAGATAAGGAAGGGGGCTACAATCAGGATATAAAGTGAATAAATTATAAAAAATAAATTTAAATTTGTGGTTTTTTTTTTTTTTGAGAAGAACAATATAATTAATAAGTCTGTAGCTATATGATTCAAGAAAAAGAAGATAGGATACCAGCATTTGAATGGAAGTATGTCATTACAGCTATCAATACATTAATAATATTTCAGCATCAACCTCATGCCCTGAAATGTGACAACTCAAAATAGTAAAATTCTGTAAGACAAAGTTTGCCTAAGCAGACATAAATTCAATAGCTACATATCTATTAAGGATACCCAGACTGAGACCTGTTGAAGAAAACTGTAAGACCAGGTGTCGTCACTGATGAATTCTGCCAGACATTTAAGGAAGAAATAACACCACTTCTTTAAATTTTTTTTTCTCGAATATCAAGATTAAATGCTTTTGAATATCTTCTATGAAGCCAACTTTATCCCAGTACAAAACAAAAGTCGTTTCAAAAACAGGAAAGGACTGAGCAGTTTCAGTCCTAGCGTGCATGAGGGAGTTTATAACAGAACCTGAGTGTTTCTTACCCAGCAGCACAAGAAGATAAGGCATCAGAACGAGGTGTGGTTTGTCCCAGCAGCTTGAGAATGAGTGCAGTTAAAGATGCCATTCATATGAGTGCTTCAGTGTTTTCAGGAACAGGGTTCTGAGAAGGGCTCTGGGTGAGCTGCAGACAGAGATGACCACACAGGGCCTGTAGCAGCCTTTGCTAATGGCGGACGTGTATTTCGCCTGCACTGGGATGTCTCTGGTGGATAACATGGAAGGCTTCAGAATAGACACAGCTGATTTTACTCGTTACCTTGTAGAAAGTGTTTGATTTTTTTCCTTCTTTCCTTCAGGATATATATTCAGGATATACATACCATCAGACATACTGATGGTAGATTCGTGGTGTTCTAGTGGTCCAGTACTAGGTGTGGGGCTGTACTTCTGTAATCATGAGGGTACAGAGATGTGAGTCTGTGGTCAGCCTGACTGTGTAGCCGTGATCACTGTTAGCAGTGGTCCTCCTCTTGAGAGCACATTAAAACATAACAAAAGACAGTAGCATTGATCTTTTTGTTTGTTTGTTTTACAGTTAAGAACACAGAAATCTTGCAGAGTTACAACCAGTCACTTGAAAAGTGGTCTCTCTCACAAGCTGTCACTGGTCTAGTAGACACAGGAAAAACATCTGAAGCTGAGTCTCTGTGCACAAAGGTACTATTGTGGACTTACACATTGAAGCTCGTGCAGTTTTGTCCTACCTAAAAATAGGGAAAGTATTACTTAACAAGGATAGTGGTGATGACAGCCTCACCACTTACTGACTGCGCTCGGGCCTTCCTTTCAGTATTATTGTTTCTGGGCTTTACAACAATCTGTAATGTGCATGTGTATCATTGTCACCCTCTTTACAAATGAGAAATCTTTGTAAAAAGTATTTGCCCAGAAGCTCATAGCAGCTAGAAGTGGATTAAGAATACTGTACTACTGCTATAACCCTCATGGTCTTTTTTTTTTCCCAAAAGAAGTATTATTTACTTCTGTTTATGTATGCATATCTGTGTATGAGGAGGTCATAGGGGTACCATATTTTGATGATGGAATTACAGGCAGTTGTGAGCTCTATTGCATGGGTGCTGGGAATTGAACTCTGGTTTTCTGTAAGGTCCGCATGCTCTATGTCACTGAGCCACCTCAGTACACCTTGCCTTGTATTTAGGGTGTCATTCCTTTGGCTTCTGGTTGCTCCTTTTAGAATACCGCATTTCAAGGATCTGTTTCACTTTTCCAAGCTCCGAAGCCATAGAATGATTGGACGTTGACGGGTGGCAGTACTTGTTAATCACCATGGGCCAGGAATGGGGGGCTCTCAGCTGCTGCCTCTGTGGGTAGATTCTTAGCATCTTGACTGCCACGCAGCAGGGACTCAGTCAGTATTGATTCAATCAGTAAATCAGTTTCATGGACCTAGTAAAAAGGAGAGTTTTAAACATGGCTTTTTCTCTGAATGCTTGTGTTTCATAGATACCAGAGAGAGTGTATTGTTCTCTTAGAAAAGGTCTTTGGAGAGAAACAAATTTTACAGAGAAAAATGGTCTTTCATGATCCCTTTTGTCCTTGAGTTTTTTGAAAAACAGAATAATACATTTTCTTTTTCATGTGAGGAATTCTATCTGTCTAAGCCCAGGGCTTAGTGTATTAATTATATTGTGGATGCTGACTAAGCATAAATTAGCAGTTGCGATGTCTTCTCTAGAATAAGGAATGCTTTATGAGCCTTTACTTTCATCTTATTGTTTCAGTCTGTCTTAGAAGAAAGCCTTCAGAGACACTTTAGATATATGTTGGACTGTGATTTAATGATAAAAGATAGATTAAGATTCTCTGAAGAGAGAAGCAGTACACAAATATTTTTACTACAAAAGAGTTGGAAGTTTGCCAATCTACAGAGCTGACATTTGAGATGAAAATCCTAACTATTCTGATCTGATCACAACATATATATTGAGTTACGGTGCTATACTCCATAAATACAAATGTTATGTTAATCATGGAGTATTGTATATTCTACTGAAATAGTGATTACCTTTACTTTTTATATTTCTTGGGTCAGTTTTATATTCAGAACATACATATTTTAGAATAAGAGCTGAGAATAAACCAGCTCAACAGGACTGTTTAATCTATATTCAGTGATTCAAACACTATAACCCTGTTATTTATATGAAAGATTATTTAAATGTAGGCTTTGGTATTCCCAGGCTGGATAGCCTTTTGTGTATTTAACTTTTGTACCCACTTTTGTTATAGCCAAAAAACAAAAACAAAAAAACAAAACAAAACAAAAGTTTAAATTAAGGTGGAAAAATATGTTATCATAAAGCACATTTTAATTGCCTTTTACTTATTTCAGTTTAGAGCCTATTTGATATGTTTCTATATTGGGTTTAATTTTTAGAATTTAAAAAGTAACCCTGATCAGCCCGCTATAATCTTACTGTTAAGACAAGTTCAGTGTAAATCACTCCTGGAGTCTCAAAAGCCCCTCCCAGATGCTGTACTGGAAGAACTGCAAAAAACAGTCATGTCCAATTCTACTTCTGTTCCTGCATGGCAGGTAAGTCCTCTGCTTTCTCATGTGATTCCTAAGTCAAAATATGCTGTGCTGCTAGTTGAGGAATGTACCCCATTTCTGTTTGCTTTAAGATTAATCATAATTTGCCCATTTCCAAATGTAAAGAGTATTGTGGAAATTCAACATTAATTTAGGATCTGTTTCTATAACGCTTTAAGTCCTTATTAGTTGTTGATTGTAAATTTCCTCAATTGAAAAGAATAGCAGACATCCGTCTTTTTCTTGGAGTTGATGTAAAAGAAATAAAGAGGTGTTGAAGATGTTTTGTAATAGTTGTCTTAGTTACTTTTCTTGCTTCTATGACAAAATATCTGATAAAAGCAACCTAAGGAGGTGCTGGAAAGATGGCTCAGAGGTTAAGAACACTGGCTGTTCTTCCAAAGTTCCCAAGTCCAATCCCTGTAACCACATGGTGGCTCATAACCATCTATAATGAGATATGATGTCCTCTTCTAGCTTGCAGGCACACATGCAAGCAGAACACTGTATAAATAATGAACAAATAAAAGCAACCTAAGAGAAGAGGGTTTATTTTGGCTCATAGTTCCAGGGTGGTTTGAATGAAAATGTCCTTCATAGGCTCAGGCATTTGAACACCTGGTCCCTTGTTGATGACACTAGTTAGAGATAGTTTTAAAAGCCGTGGCCTTGCTAGAAGTATGTAATCTCAGAGGTTGGGCTTTGAGAGTATTTGGCCTCAGCTCATTTCTAGTTTGCTCTCTCTGCTTCCTGATGTGATCTCTCAGCGTCTGATCCTATTGCTATGCCTTTCACTTACTGCCATCATTCCTGCCATGATGGAGTCTTATCCCTCTGGAACTGCATACCAAAATAAACTCTATTCCTCAAGCCAATTTGTCACGGTGTTTTATCACTGCAACCTCAATTGCTCAGCGGCTTTCACTCAATCCAGAGCTCACCATTTTGGCTACTCTGACACACCGGCTTGCTCTGTTTCTAGTCTCCATTTCTTGGATGCTGGGATCACAGTGGATTATGCCCACCTGGCTCTTAAATGGACTCTCAGGCTCTGAACTCCAGCCTTTGCTTGCATCACAAGTGCCTTGCCTGCTGTCTAATATGCATTCTAGTGTAGCATTTCCATTGTCATTTGTTTCAAAATGTTCTTTATTGTTGAGATTTGTTTTGTTTTTTATATAAAGCATCTTGGAAAATGTCTAATATGAAAATATTCTAGATATTTTTCTGCTAATGATTTCAAGCATAATTGTATTTAGTTAGAATGTGATTTTATGATTTCACTCTGGTGGTATTTTTGAGATGTAGTCTCTGTGATAGTTTTTTGCAGCAAAGGCTCCATAGAAGCCCAGGGTGGTCCTCCTGGGACTTGTGATTCTCCTGCTTCAGCCTGCAGAGTCCTGGGACTAAAGCATGATCCAGCAAGTCTGGCTCAAGATTTGTTCTTTATAATCCAGCCTAAGTTCAAATTGGCTAAATCTTGCATGGATAATTGTCAACCATGTGCTCTGCAGTTGTTGATCAATCTTTTAAGTAGGTAGTGTAAGCCAAGCTTCATCATTGTTTGTATCTTTGTCTTCTTGCTGAATTTTTATTTTACTTTATTTTTGGTCTGTTTCTTCATATGAATGCTGAAACAGGCATGTTAAAATCACCTGCCAGTCTGAACGTGTCCGCTGTTGGTTGCCTTTTCTCATGAATTCTGTGCCGTTGGGGATTTACAAAGGTAGAAATGTGTATGTGGAAGGAGTGCTGTGATCGTATCAACATCATCATTTCCCGTTTCTGTCTTAGAGACGTCATTGTTGGGTAGTGCTGCAGTTGTCCAAACTTTCTTTTGATTATATAGTTTATTAGTATTTACATAGTTTATCAGTTTTTGCATTGTAATTTGAAGTTCTTGGTTTGCCATCTTCAGAGACATTTACACTTCAGCTTGATAGGTCTAGAGAAGTGTTGCTGGCAGAATAAGCAATGTGACAAGGCTCGTTCGTTTTAGGGTCCTGGGGCATACCAGTAGTTCAATTAAAAAATTAAGTTTATTAGCATTTATTAAATTTGTTGGGAGTCGGAGATCATGCTCTACACTAAACCGGACGCTCTGCATCTGCCCTCCTTTCTGTTCCTTAGTGGTTGGCACAGGTGTATCAGTCCCAAGGAATGATGGGTGCTGCAGAGATGTGTTACAGAAAGAGTCTACAGGTGGCATCCCAACAGGACAGTTGGAGTGGGAAGCTCTCCAGTCTGTTGAAGCTGGCACTGCTTGCGCTGGAAGTGTGCATGGTAAGCATGCTATAATTGTGACCATGAAAACTTGAGTCCTGCGTAACACCTATTTCCTTTTTTTTCTTTATTTTTAAATAATTTTATACATTCACTTGTATCCCAGCTGTAGCCCTCTCCCTCTTCCCTGCCAATCCTCCCCTCCCTCCCTCACCTCCTCCCTGCCCCCTTCCAAGGGGGGGGGGGTTGGGGAGGTCCTCCTCTCCTTCCATCTGACCCTAGCTTATCTGGTATCTTCAGGACTGGCTGCAATATCCTTATCTGTGGCCTAGTAAGGCTGCTCCTCCCTCGGGGTGGGGAGGGGAAGCTCAATGAGCCAGTCATTGAGTTTATGGGAGAAATAATTCCTGTCCCCTTTACTAGGGAACCCACTTGGATACTGACCTACCATGGGCTATGTCTGAGCAGGGGTTATAGGTTATATCCATGTATAGTCCTTGGTTGGAGAAACAGTCTCAGAGAAGACCCCTGTGCCCTGATATATTTGGACCTTGTGGGGCTCCTGTCCCCTCTAGGTCATACTAACTCCTCCTTATTTCATATGATTCCCTGCACTCTGCTGAAGGCTTGGTTATGGGTCTCAGCATCTGCTTTGATACACTGCTAGGTAGAGTCTTCAGGTGCCCTCTGTGGTAGGCTACTGTCCTGTTACTTGTTTTCTCCTACTGCCAATGTCAATCCCCTATGCCTTTCTAGGTGAACCTATTTCCTTTTTAATTTCTGAAGCTTTCACATATGAAACTCTGACATTTTCCCCATTGTTCCATTATCTTTTGCTGTGATATCTTGTGGACTTTGTACCTTGAGCTCGGGAGATACATAGAGCAATAGTAACACAAGACTACAAGAGAATTTCATAACTGTTTAGGAACAATCTAAGATTGTGATTTTAAAAGTTGTATTGTAGCAAGTATATTCTTAGGAATGCTTAAGAATTCAAGGCTGCTACTTTTTGTAACAAAGATGCCAGAATTTAAGTTTTTTTTTCCTAATTCAATTTGGCATTCCTTAAGGTATTTCTAGGGACCTGTGACTTGATATCCTATTTTCTGATGCCAGTTTACATGGATTAACTCAAAAAGTCTTATGTGCCAGTAGGGAAAATTCTTAAAGATAAAATGTACATGAGAGTGAAGTCAATCACTGGAACAGTTTATAGGATTCTTCTTGAGCACTTTGTGTATTTGGTATATATGTTTTAGAATCAGGATAAATACTATGTGTATTTGTAGGTATGTAAGCACAAAAGTGCATAGATATCATTCATGGATTATAATTAAACATTATAAATAAAAACTATAATGACAGTTACTTTGACTAGGACAGCTGGGGCTTTTAGTGATAAGAGAGAATTTTTAAATCATATCTTTTGATTCTATTTGAATTTTTAGCGTATTCATATAAACTCATGGTTAAAAGATGAGCTGTCTTACATGGTTGGAGGAGACTGTCCTGGGCGGTCCTGAAATAACTTGTTTTTACCCAAGCATCCATGGAAATATGATTATCTCACTTTATATATTTTAACTAAGAAAGAAAAGAGTGGAGCAATGTTTTGGGGTGGATGCTGTTGGCGGAGTTGCTGTAGACACATGGGACATTTTCTGTTTTCCTCCTGCCCTTTCCATTGCTTTGTGCTTAGGCACTCTCCAGTAAACAGTTCTGGAGCAAATGAACAGACCATAACAGGGGATGAGTTTGATGTAAAAAATGGAAATAGTAAATATAGATTATCTAATAGGTTGTTTTACTTTTTATGTTTAGGTTTCACCAGGGTCTTTAAGGCCTTGGAAGTGGCTGAGCTACAAAAGCTACATGTAGTTTCTAATGTACTCTTGAATGTAGAAACTAGGTGCTTTTTAGCCTGACTTAATATTTGTTAGTTATAAGTATCGAATAAAATATAAATATCATTTAAAGATATTATAAATATAATATTTGTAATTTATAAATATCATTTATAAATACCATATAAATCCAAGAAATTAGAAACCACCTGGAATGAAATGAATAATAATTAATAATAATTATAGTAATAGTGATTGTGTCGAGCTCTAGGCTAAATGCTTTGTACTTGTTTAACAGTTCCTGCAACCATCTTTCAGAGATATGAAAATCAGCATGTCAGCAATAGCCATGTCTGTGTTCTTCTGCCCCCAACCACTGCCACCCTAAGACCGTTTTCTCTAAGAGCCTGTGTTCTGGTTCTGTCCATTATGGCCTGTGAACTTTCCAGCTCCTCAAACCATTCAGTCTTGTTTCCTGGTTTTCTCCTGACATCTGCATTACCTTCTTGTGGCTTTATTATGCATGTTAAGTGAAGTGACATTTACAAAAGCCTCTTGCAGGTGTCATAAATGTCTATAAATATAAACCATAAAGCATTAACCAATTTAGTTTGTTGTTACAAGATTTGACACCAATAGTTACTATAAAAAATAAAATTGATACCATGTATAAGTGTAAAACATTAAGAGGAGAATGTGGCTATTTTAAAATTGAACTGTATATCTGATATTATATGAGCAAATAGTAAACTAATAAGTTAATGAAGGTATTAGACATTGTATGCCACAGTGAGACATTAGATCAGGAAAGGTGTTTTTGAGACAAAAGATTGTTAGCCTATAAGGAAAGTATAAATGCTCCAGAAAAGCAGAATTGAAGAGAAGTAAAAAGTTTCTGGGCCAGAGGTATTGCCTTCCCTTTTGCTTGGAGGGAGCTGATTGGAGGCTTGATGTGTGTCTTCTTGAGCTGTGGACATGCGTTTAAAAGTATTTGGACAGATAACTGTTTCAAAGGTTGTGGTGCTCAGTCTAAGGTTTTACTGTGGAGAAGGAACTTGCTGATGTTCTTGGAAATGACTTCTTGCTTCTAGGAAAAAATAGGCAACAGTGGTTGAGCTTCAAGGTGGGCAAGAATACCTACTTACAAACAGAGTGACAGTTTTTATCTCACATTTTGTTTACTCTGTTCTGGCCTGGTAATAGGTGGTGAAAGTCTGTTGGTTGTGGACAGTAACAGCAAACCATACTTGCCATTTCTGCTGTGTGCTAATGAGGGCAGACAGCTAGTGCTATACTATGTTGATGAGTGTAGTGTTTGGGAGTTTATATGTGTTAAATGTAATTTTGACTTTGTGATCTTATCAACTTACAGTAGGTTTGTTGGGATTTAACCCCGTTATAAGGGAGAAGCATCTGCAGGGTATATTAGTAGACACGTGTCCCATGACAACATACGGTTCCACACTTGAGTTAATGCTCTGTACTTGCCATCCTCAAATTAATAATTAATAATTTCTGAACATTTTTATTTTTGTACTTAGACCTGTGGGTTGTGTGGATAGAACTGCAAATGGACACAAACGCCTAAAATTGAAATTCTCTGAGAAAAACTAATAGGAGCAAAACAGCTTTAATATCTCTCAGTCCTGAAGAGCTTCATGTCATTTCCTACTATAGTACTCGCCAAATTTAAACTTGCAAAAATTTACTGAGGGCCTGGAAATACAGTTAGCATGAAAGTACAGTCAAGGAACAACTTGCCATCATGACTTTGCTGAAGCCCAGCCTTACCATGAGAGGGTTGGTGAGAGACTGTGGGTAATATCCCTGTATAATAATCAAACTGTTGACAAATAGAACATATTTTAATTTAGTAAGTGAATGAATGTGTACAAGATGATGTGAGTCACGAGTTTGATTATATATACAGCAACAGAAAAGTCTGTAATAAATTTTATTATCTTTAATAAAATAGTTTTTAATAGTTTTTCATACAATATGCTCCAAGTACCATCTCCTTTCCCAATTCCTCCCAGCTCTTCCCTGCCTCATCATCCACCCAATTCCACGCCTTTCTCTCTCTTTAGAAAATAAATGGGCAAGTAAAAACAGAACAGAGTTAAAAGAAAAGACACAAGAAACCCGCATAAACAAAACCCATAAAAACACAAAATTGGAAACCATAATATACAAGCAAAACACCAGAAAGGCAAAACAAAGCAATATGAGACAGAAAGTCTACACAAGCACCATTGAGTTCATGTTGTATTGGCCATCTACTCTTGGGCAGGAGGCCTGCCCTGAAGTGTAGATGAACTACTGGGTACATTAGTACCCAGTGAATTTTCTCTATTGAAGAAACCTAAAGTTTCCTTAGCAAGCAGATGTCAGTTGGAGATAGCTTCGGGTTAGGGATAGGAGCTCTTGTCCACTTTCCCTTCTCAGTGCTGGGACCCCATTTGTTTTGATCTTGTACAGGCCCTGTGGGACACAGCCTCTGTGACTTCATATGTGTGTCAGTCCTATTGTGTTAGGACAGTGTTTCAAAGTCTGTCACTCTCTGAACACTGTTCAGTTGTGGAACTCTGCATTAGTTCTCGTCTGTTGCAAGAAGCTTCTCTGATAATGACTGAGACACTGATCTATGGGTGTATAAAAACAATGTCATTAGGAGTCATTTTTTCTGGGTTGCTTTAGCAGAACAGTCGTATTAGGTTTTCTCCTAGGCCCATGGCCTATCTAATCTTGAGGCATTGACCACGTTAACAATGCTCCATCTCAGGAATGGACCTTAACTCCAATCAGATAGTGGTTGATTACTCCCATGTTTGTGCCCCTGTTGCATCAGCATATCATTCAGGTAGATGACCATTGTGGAGCTCAGGATTTGTATCTGTATTGACCTTGTACCTGGTATTGACTTTGTATCTGTTTTGTTTTTTGTATTGTATTTGTATCTGGCACTGACATCTTTCCTTTGTACAGAGTACCTTCCAGTACCATGTACAGTAGTCAGTAGTGGTGAAGGCTCTGGTTAGGCATCAGCTCAACTGCTCTGTGTCCAGCGAGATAGATATGTAAATGCTGTCTTCACCAGCAGGGCCTTACTATCAGTTTGTGGAGAGCAACCACGAGTTTGTCAGTAGCCTGAGACGTTTGAGGGCTTCCAGGGGCCTCTTTGGCCAAAAGCTCAGCTGGATGTAACCCATTCCTAGCACTGGAGGTTTCACTTGGTGGTGAAGATGTCTAGCTGAGGCATTGTCTCACCCACTCTTGATGATTTCATTCCGTTTTTACACTACTTTCACAGTAAGGGTCATTATGACCCTTCCACTGGTCCGTAGTGTTCGCTGTCCCTTTCCTTTTTCCCTTCCTTACCCCTCTCTTCCACCCTGTCCCATTTAATCCTCCTGCTCCATGTTCCCCCTTGTTGCTTCCTACTTCTCTATTCTATTTCCCCTTCCTTTCCTTCTTCCATATGATTTATATACAGAACAGAAAAAAGTCTATATTAAGGATTATTACTTACTGTTTGTTTGTTTGTTTGTTTGTTTGTTTGTTTGAAACAGGGCCTCACTGTGTGGCCTTGGCTGGCCTGGATCTTGCTATGTAAACCAAGCTGGCCTTGAATTCAGAGATCCACCAGCCTCTGCCTCTTAAGTGCTGGAATTAAAGGCAGGAATGATTACTCTCAGCTCAATAATAAATTTTAAAGAGATGGAGAGACAAAATTACATTGTCTGCTATTCATGAAAGGAAGATTTGATTTCTGTGCTAGTGAGAGTTTCATATTTGTGTGTGTGTTCGTGTGTTCACGTGTGTGGGTGTGGATATGTGCACACATGTGTGGAGGCCAGAAGTTGGTGTGGAGTTCTTTTCTTCAGTTTCTGTCCACCTTACCTATTGAGACAATTACAACCAGAAGTCTCCAAAACATGAGCTGTTCATCTTGCCTTCCCATCCTCAGCCTCTGCTGTCCTAGCACAGCGATTACAGCTGGGCCACCATGCTTCATCCCACCTGCAACCCCCAGCATTTATATGGGTGCTGAAGATTTGAGCTCAGGTTCTTACACTTACACAACAAACACTTTATCCAGAGCCGTGTTGTAAGGAGACACAAAGAATTGTTTTCTAGAAACCACCTGGGTGTGGGCACCACAGTCTTGTTCTCTGCATTCTGACCTGTTGTGGCTTTCTATAGTGGTACCCATTTGTTGGAAAGAGACGTTTCTCTGTGGAGGGCTCAGAGCTGAACTTACCTGTGTGTATAAGGAAAAGTACTTAGAATTTAGGGATTATGTTGGTTTAGTAAAGTGGCTGGTACCTCACCAGTTTCAAGTATTTGTCTAGGTTTCCAGTACCAGACATGATTTGCCGCCTGTTGAGTAGGCCATAAATCCAATTACAGAGCTGTTGGGTTCTGCCAGGGTATGTATGCCACCACTGCACTGTAAGGGTTATTTTGCCATTCTGGTAGTTGTGATTCATATGTAAATATGTAACAACAATTTAAAAAAGGTTCTCTGAAATTGAGAAAGAGTGAGGGGATGGTTCTGGGAGGGAAGGATGAAAGGGAAATAGGAAAATTATATATATATATGTGTGTGTGTTGATACATATATATGTTAGGTGTATATAAGCTTCCTCTGTTTCCATATGTAAAAAAGATAAAAAAGATGTCTCACAGCCTCCATTATCTTTTTGTGCATTCATTAAGCATTGATCTTCTTCCTAAATTAAACAAATTACTCTTGTTTACACTATATTTAGAGGCTATTGCTCTGATATTTTTCTTACAATTAAGTGAAATGTTATACTTATTTATATATAGATATATTTGTTATGATATGGCTATATTAAAATTAAAAATAAAATATATACTGACTTAAAATGCATATTCTGGATACTTGTAATTAAGAAATCTTGGAGCCTGGTGCAGTGGCACATGCCTGTAATCCCAGTACTCAGAGAGATAGAGGCTGGCAGATCTCTGAGAATTTGAGGGCAGCCTAGTCTACAAAGTGAGTCCAGGACAGCCAAGGCTACAAAATAATCAATCAGTCAATAAGAAAGAAAGAAAGAAAGAAAGAAAGAAAGAAAGAAAGAAAGAAAGAAAGAAAGAAAGAAAGAAAGAAAGAAAGAAAGAAAGAAAGAAAGAGAAAGAAAGAAAGAAAGAAAGATCTCAGTACAATTTGAGGATTTCGTTGTTGTTGGATATTTATTAAATTCCATAGGGGTTTTCTATAACCTGGCTAGTTCCCAAATAATTGAGAGAGAGACCTGTTGATTTATTTTAAATGTTTTAGCACAATAACTGGGCAGGTACAATTTAAACTACATTTTCTAAACTAGTCTGGCTACCTCCCAGCTGCATCCCCCAAGTTACTTCCCAGTAAGTCATCCTGTCTGGACTGGATCTGCTCCATCAGGCCATGTCCTCTTTCTGTATCGTTTTTCCCTCCTCTCTCTCTTCTCCTGCTTCCTTCTCCTGACCTTATTGTTCTTCTCTCAGACCCCAAACCCTGGAATGGAAGTTCTGCCTGTTTCTGTTTTGCCCAGTAATTGGCTGTCAGCAACTTTATTAACCAATCAGGATAACTAGGGAACAAAGTTTGCACAACATTGGTGTATGTGAGAATGCACTCATCTCACTGTAATCAGATTTTGGGGCCAGAATTTAGAATCTGAATACACACCACCAGACCAACTCCCAACGTTTTTTTGTTTTGTTTTGTTTTTGTTATCTTTTTTACTATTTTTATTTTTTGAGATTATAATATAATTAAATCATTTCTTTCCCCCCCACCTTTAAATCATCCTTTGTGTGTTTCACCTCCCACCCCTATCCAAAACACAATTTCTATACTTAAGGATCAGGCATTATTGGGGTGGGGACTGAGGGGATGGGATTGGGCAGCAGGATTCTAAAAGCCAGAGGAACAGGGGTTGTGCTGTAAGACTATTTGTTTTGAGGTAGGGTCTCAGGAACCCCAGGCTGGCCCCAGGGTTGTTGTGTTCCTCTGAGCTTTTAAGCTCCATGCACCCACACGTTGGGATTGCAGGCATATGCCACTGTGTATCATTTTTAAGCAGTGCTGGGCATGGATCTCAGTGCCTCATGCCTGCCTGTCAAACACACGACCAAGTCAGTTCCGCTCAAAACTCCAGCTAAAGTTTTAGTAACTTTTTTCTTTTAGTTTGGTTACTGCCTATTTTGTTATTGTTTTGTAGGAAGTACATGTTATTTTTGAATTAGTACTTTCTATAAAACTTATTTGTAACTGAAGGAATATGTATGCATATTTTCCCCAGCAATGCTGTTACTTTGTTTTCAGTAGTAATGACTTTGGTTTAATTATTCTGTCATCTGCCATGTATGTTCTATATTGTGATTTTATCAAATTTCCGCTTTCTTCTCAGATGATTTTGAAAAGCAACATCATACATTTACCACTGCCTTAGTCAATGTTCTATTGCTGTGAAGAAATGCCATGCACAACAATTTTTATTTTAAAAAGAAAGCATTTAATTGGGGCTGGCTTACAGTTTCAAAAGTTCAGTATATTATCGTCCTGGTGAGAAGCATAGTGGCATGCAGGCAGACATGGTGCTGGAGAGGTAGCTAAGAGCTCTACATCCGCATCAGTGGACAGCAGTAAAATTGAGAGACATTGGGTCTGGCTTGGGCATTTGAAATCTCAAAGCCCAACCCCAGTGGCACACTTCCTCTAACAAGGCCGCACCTCCTAATGGTGTCACACTCTGGTGACAAAGCTTTCAAAACCTATGAGCCTATGGGGGCCATTCCAATTCAAAACACCAAAATCACTGTTAAAAATTGAGTCATGTTAAATTTGGTAGACTAGAGAAGCGATTACTAGGTAATAGGCTTGTCATCTATAATATGTATTTTTCATTTAACAAATGTTTTCTTGTTATAAAATGATGCTTTCTTTTTTTTTAATTTTTATTTTTTCTTATTAGTTACATTTTATTAACTCTGTATCCCAGCTGTATCCCACTCCCTCATTCCCTCTCAATCCCACCCTCCCTGATGCTTTCTTTTTTCAGATCTTCCCTTATCGCAGTGTAGGGACCCTGTTTTGTTGATCCTTATGGTCAAGGAACTGATTCTAGATAATTTTTAGTAATTACAATTTTGCTTCTTGTAATATTTGTACGATGTTAGGCAAGAAGGGAATTCGTAGTGAGAACTGATTTATGTATTTTTTAAAGTGAACATGTCAAAACTTTGAGTTAATTTTTTTGAATTAATATTTATTCTGCCCTTTTTAGGCTAATGTTTCAGGTGATCACTGGTCGTCCTTGGTTCAAGAGGCCACAAGTGAGGCCTTGAAAGTTTGCTTTTGTCCTCTGGCTGTCTTCTTGCAAGCTTTGTTGCAGTTCAACCGTAAGATGGGAGCAAGGTATACAAAAATCTGTGCTTATTCTTTGCTTAGAAATCCTGCTTCGTGTAAAGCCTCCTAGGAAATGATCAAAGGAGCCTTTATAATGAGATTAATTAGTATAAGCAGCTTTGGGATATTCTGTTGTCTCTCCTTGAGGAAAATGTCATTCTCTGTTGCAGTGAGGAAGAACATTTCATACTCACTTAACAGAAATGGAACATAGATATAGATGTGGCTAGTTTGGCACAAACGTACTTCAAGTGAAGACGCACTTAGGGTTTATTTTCTTCTATTTGGGATGAACCAACAGTGCAATGTGGATTCTAGATGCAGACCCCGGCTCAAGATTATATTAATAGAAGCTTTGCTCATTTAACAAACTAGAAAAATTAGCAAATATTGGAAGATAAACCTATGTGAATATGTGCATTCATGTCTAGAAAAGTCAAAGACTGTTCAGATTAAAACCAAAAATCTGATACTAGAGGTTGGGGATGAGTGCCATAGATCAGAAGAATCTTACTTAGATGTCATCTGTATAGGTGAAAGGTATTTAAAAATTAAAAATGATGGTTTTAATAAGTCAACTGTAAATAAAACAATGATTTAGGAGTAAATATCCCTGACACAGAATATAGAATAGGTATTATAGAAATAGAGCTCACTACATGTAAATATGTCTCCCCTCAAAAAGCAACCCTCACAAAGTAAGACTGAAGGATGGATGAGTTAATGTTCTGCAGCTCTTTAGTAAGTTTATTTATAATACTCCCCTGGTGGGGGCTCTTTCTGCATGTGTGTACATGCATGCATGTGTGTGTGCATGTTCATGAGAAAGGCTCTGTCTGTAGACTTCCTGATGAGCTCCTCCAGCTGCCCATTGTGAGCGACCCAAAAGCAGTGGCTCTTGTGTGACCCTGCTGTACTTATTACCACTGTTGTCATCTCCAAAAGGTAGCCCCTAAATTGAAGTCTAGGGAGAAACTATGTTTGTGACGTAACACTGTGCATGGACTTCTTCAAGACAGATTCTTTAGTTCCTGCTCAAACTCATTGCTATTTATTTGATTCTTCAACTTAGCAGTTCTCAAATTATTTGTTTTATGTTATTTCTACCACTAAGGAATTTTGAGGCTCATAAATGTTTATAAATTAAGAGAGAAAAGCATAAGACCATAGCTATAATCTTTTTGTAATATAATCATTTTGTAATTATATGAGTTAAATTCACATATTGTACATATCCTTGAAAACACTAAAAACTTGATTTTACTCATGTGGCTTCTTGTATCAGATAGTGAAATTTCTTGTTCCACTTACATATTTGTGTTATTGGTTAGTTAGTTGGTTGGTTGGTTACTTGTTTAAGAATTTTTTCCTCAAGACTTCAAGTCTCTGAAGAAAGAAATTGAAGAAGATGTCAGAAGGTGAAAAGAGCTCTTGTGCTCATGGATTGGTAGGATTAACATAGTGAAAATGGCCATCCTACCAAAAGCAATCTACAGATTCAATGCAATTCCCATCAAAATACCAACACAATTCTTTACAGACCTTGAAAGAACAATTTTCAATTTCATGTGGAAAAACAAGAAAAGCAAAATAGCTAAAATAACCCTGTACAATAAAAGAACTTCTGGAGGTATCTTCATCCCTGATCTCAAGCTGTCCTATAGAGTAATAGTAATAAAAACAGCATGGTACTGGCATAGAAACAGACTCGTGGATCAATGGAATCAAATGAAAGACCCAGAAATAAACCCACACACCTATGAATACTTGATTTTTGACAAAGAAGCCAAAACCATTAAATGGAAAAATAACAGCATCTTCAATAACTGGTGCTGGTCTAATTGAATGTCTATATGTAGAAAAATGAAAATAGATCCATATTTATCACCCTGCACAAAACTAAAGTCTAAGTATATCAAAGACCTCAACATAAAACCAGACACACTAAACCTGTTAGAAAAAAAAGTGGGGAAGAGCCTTGAACTCATTGGCACAGGAGACAACTTCCTGAACAGAACACTAACAGCACAGGCTCAACGATCAACAATCAATAAATGGGACCTCATGAAACTTAACACCTTCTGTAAAGCAAAAGATTCTGTAAACAGAACAAAAGGACAGCTTACAAACTGGGAAAGGCTCTTTACCAACTCTATATCTGACATAGGGCTAATATCCAGAATATATAAAGAATTTAAGAAGTTAAACATCAACAAACCAAGTTATCCAATTTAGAAAATGGGATACAGAGCTAAACAGAGAATTCTAAATAGAGGATTATCGAATAGCAGAGAAACACTTAAAGAAGTGCTCAAAGTCCTTAGTCATCAGGGAAATGCAAATCAAAATGACCCTGAGATTTCACTTTACACCCATCAGAATGGCCAAGATCAAAAACTCAAGAGACAACACATGCTGGAGAGGATGTGGAGAAAGGGGAACCCTCCTCCAATGCTGGTGGGAATGTAAACTTGTACAACCACTTTGGAAATCAATCTGGCACTTTCTCAGACAATTAGGAATAGTGCTTCCTCAAGATCCAGCTATACCACTCCTAGGCATATATCCAAAAGATGTTCAAGTATACAAGGGCATTTGCTCACCTATGTTCATGGCAGCTTTATTCATAATAGCCAGGATCTGGAAACAACCTAGATGTCCCTCAACTGAAGAATGGATATAGAAATTGTGATACATTTATCCAAATGGAATACTATTCAGCTTTTTAAAACAAGGAAATCATGAAATTTGTAGGCAAATGGATGGAACTAGAAAAGATCATCCTGAGTGAGGTATCCCAGAAGCAGAAAGACACACATGGTATATACTCACTTATAAGTGGATATTAGCCATGTAATATAGGATAAACATACTAAAATCTATAGTCCTAAAGAAGCTAAAGAACAAGGAGAACCCTAGGGAAGATACTTGATCCTCATTCAGAAGCAAACAGGATAGACATAGGAAGTGGAACAGGACGGGAGCCTACCACAGAGGGACTCTGAAAGATTCTACCCAGCAGAGTATCAAATCAGATTCTGAGACTCATAGCCAAACTTTGGGTAGAGTGCAGGAAATCTTATGGAAGAAGAGGGAGATAGAAAGACCTGGAGGGGACAGGTGCTCCACAAGACCAACAGAGCCAAAAAATCTGGACCCAAGGGGTCCTGCAGAGACTGATGAATTAAACAAGGACCATACATGGAGAAGACTTAGAACTCCTGCTCCAAAGTAGCCCATGGACAGCTCAGTCTCCATGAGGGTCTCCTAGTAAGAGGAGCAGGAGCAGTCTCTGGCATGAAATCGATTGCCTGCTATTTGATCATCTCCCCCTTTGAAAGAGGATCCAGTCCTGATGAGACCTGATAGGCTAGAGTCAGATAGTAGGGGAGGAGGACCTCCCTCATCAGTGAACTAGGGGAGGGACATAAGGAGTGAAGTGGGAGGGAGAGGCGTAGAGCCAGGATACAAAGTGAATAATTTGTAATACATAATATTTTTTTTAAAAAAGAAAAATATTATTTTTCCTTGTGTGTTTTCTAGATTTTTGTGATAGGGCTTACTGTGTGGCCCAGACTGCCTTAGACCTTGTGAGCCTTCTGCCTTCTCTTCCTTACATCTGAATTTACTTTTTCTGCAAAATTTTCAGTCAAAATATTACAGGGTGCTTTATATATTCTAGTGTTAGCCCTTTGTCAGATATAAGGTTGATGAAGAGCCTTTCCCAGTCTGTAGGCTGTTGTTTTCATCTGATGACTGTCCTTTGCTCAGCACATGCTGAGACTCATAGCCAAACTTTGGGCAGAGTGCAGGGAATCTTATGAAAGAAGGGGGAGATAGAAAGACCTGGAGGGCACAGGAGCTCCACAAGGAGAGCAACAGAACCAAGAAATCTGGGTCCAGGGGTCTTTTCTGAGATTTATAGTCCAACCAAAAACCATTAATGGAGATAACCTAGAACCTCTGCACAGATGTAGCCCATGGCTGCTCAATCTCCAAGTGGGCACCCTCGTAAGGGGAACAGGGCCTGTCTCTGACATGAACTCAGTGGTTGGGTCTTTGATCACCTCCCCCTCAGGGAGAAGCATCCTTACTAGGCCACAGAGGAGGACAATGCAGCCAGTCCTGATGAGACCTGATAGGCTAGGGTCAGAGGGAAGGGGAAGAGGTCCATGGGAGGAGAAGAGGGAAAGAGGATAGGATTGGGAGGGAAGGGGCCACAGCTGGGATACAAACTGAATTAATTATAATAACGAACAAACGAATGAATGAATGAATGAATGAATGAATGAATGAATAAAAGGGAAAATTCGCCAGCTCTCTACCTGCAAAAAAAATGACAGGGTGAACACTTAGAGATGTTCATACAGTTTGGAATCTTCTCATTGTATTTTGAATGAGCTTTAGTTTGCCTGTCTGCAATAGGGGTAACCACAGCAGGAAGGTATGACTAAATAGCATGGTGCTTCGCGCACAGCAAACATTTAATAAACAGTGGCTGCTACTTTTCTACGAGAGCAATCATCATCAGTCAGTGAGATTTTTAAACAAATGAGGAAGGTAAGGTATGCATGAGACATAAAATCATGTGCTTGTCTTTCCTCCAGAGAGACGCGGAGACTTTTGGAGAGAGTAGTATACCAGCCTGGATACCCCAGCTCAATTGTATCAACTGCACGTTGGTACCTCTTGAGACACCTCTATGCGAAAGATGACCATGAGCTCATTGACGTAAGCTTTTAACTTCACGGAAAATATTAGTTATCTTTTCAGACTTATCCTACTATTCTTGAAATTTTAAAAGATGAATATCAGGTTTTTTTCTGGGACAGCCCTGCAGAAAGCATGTGGAGTCGGGAGTGTAAGCAAAGCAAGACCCTGAGTTCTGTGCAATACTAATAATTATAGCAGCCAGGATTCACAATGCTTATATGTTAACTCAATTGAGCAATTTATTACAGCAAAAGTAAGCAACAGCATCATGACAGTGAGTTTTACCCTTTGAAAATTGCTTCCCAAACTTCTGTATGTGATTTCACGCAGGTTTTGGTGAAGAATGCGGAGACTCACGGTGATAAAAGAACCTTGGAACTGAATCAGAAGCTGTCCACACAGTAATCGTGGATTGGGAGGCAGCAAGGAATCGAAGATAACACTTAGGAATGAAGCAGTAAATCAAGAGTTCTCACCAGAACAATGTATTTTAAAACTGTAGTTGTATCAGCTGGGCGTGGGGGTGCGCACATTTAACCCCAGCACGTGGGAGGCAGGAGTAGGTGGATCTCTGTGAATTCCAAGCCATCCTGATCTACACACATTCCCAGGCCAGCCATCAGTACACAGTGAATCCCATCTTGAAAAAATAAAAACAAATAAATTTAAAACTATAGTTTTAATCATCCATTGCTTTCCCCTCTTTATTTTATTATTACCATTTTTAATCTACAGAAGTTGAAGTTCTTAAGTTAGGGGTGTAACTCTGCAGTAAGCCTTGATCTGCTTTTAACCTTCATGCCATCTTTGACTTGGTCCATGAAGAAAGTTAAAACCTTGATTTCCTTAGTTGTTTAACAGTTACTTACTAACTGTTATTTTTTGTTTCCAAGACAGGGTTTCTGTCTGTAGCCTTGGTTGCCCTGGAACCCAGAGATCCAACTGCTTCTGACTCCCAAGTGCTGGGATTAATGGAAAATTGGGGGAAATGATTTTCATAATATTTAATTATTCATGCAGTTTCTTTGTTCATGATGAAAATATGTGGACTACCTGAAATAAAACAAAAATCATGTCTTATTTTTCATATTATCAATATGAAACATAGGTTTTAAGTTTTGGGTTTTAAAACCTAAAAGAGTTCCTGTTGTTTTCTAAAAAGTAATTCATATATTTAAATAGTCTGGATGTCACTTGCTTTGGATTGTGGTTTTCAGTGTTCCGGTGGGCATAGTGATGCATACCTTTAATGCCAGCACTTGGGAACAGCGCCTTGCGGATCTCCATTTGATAATAGCCTGTTCTACATAGAGTTCCAGGCCAGCCAGAGCTGTATACTACAATCTTGTCTCAACAGTCTTTCTCAGCTGTAAACATTTATTGTACAGAGGTATGTGGCAGTATAATTTTGTATGTGTTTTTTATTAGCCCACAAGCTCATTGTATTTTGTGAAATCATATGAATTGGTAATATCCTTTAATTAAACTGTATGTCAGAGGTTATTCTCGTAGACAGAACTTCGCCTGGTATCTTCCAGTTGTGGTGGAATATTGTGATCACTGACAGCGATTCCATCAGAAACCTTAGGATGGGAGGACTCTGCTTTCTGATGGAGTCTGAGGAGGTCTAGCAACACGTTTACAGATCAGACACGTACATTCTTCTCCTTATTTCTTCCTCCTTCTCCTTTTAAGCTGATCCAGCGTGTATAGCATGACCCTGCCAGAGGTGCCCTGGGAAGGCTCCTGTCGGCTGTATTAGACACAGTCCCTGCCGTCCACCTGCTTTATAGAGTCCCATGTGCTTCACAATTAGATTATGTGAAAGTGTTTGGTTTAGAAAATGTATTCACTTAAGATTTGTGTACTGAAGATCACTCATGGACTGTTTAGCCTTTGCACACAGTCAGGCGGTGACCTTTGGATTCTTTTGCGAATTCTGCCTTCCGTGGACCTGAGTTTTCTGGAAATCAGGATAGTAAAAGCCAATTCATTTCATTCTTTTTTGCATTTAGACTGTGCACATGCATTTTATTTTATGCCAAACTTGGGATCATCTTTCTTTACCTTCTCCTTCAATATTGGTGTTAAGCCACAATTTTAAAGGCACTTTGAAACAAATCAACATTATAAAACTGTAGAAAATGAATCAAATTAAAGCTAATTTCTCCAAGGACTGATATTCAGTATCTTCTTATTGTTACATTTGATTTTAGAATTAAAATGTGTTTTCTGTTTTTTTGTTTTGTTTTGTTTTTAACCCACCACTTAGCTACCGTTGGTTAGCTAGGTATGTCTATAGTATTATTTGGCTCCTAATGGTAACCTCCTACAGGAAATGCATTTCAGCTTCTAAGTAAATTCTGGACCACTATCTGTTTGCTTGGAACCACTTGTCATGTTTCTTGCAGTGTCTCTTCTATTTCTGGTCAGAAAAAAAAGTGAAGTGTTATATTTTTTTACACATCACCAAATGAGGGATTGACAGGTTTTCTTTGGTTTGGATTTGGCACAAAGTTGAGACTGGATCGGAAAACAGACAAATTGAAAGGACTGAATGTGCCTGTCCATAAGACAGGGTGGTGTCCACTGTGACGAAACCGCAAGAACATAAAAATGAGGCAGGTTCTGGAACATGAGTCAGTGTGGGTTATAAGCATGGTTTTTTACGTGTTAAAACTGGAAATTTTTCTTTCTTCAAGTTCACTCTTGCTTCTTTCCAGTGCTTCCTTCTTCCCATTTGAGTTGCCAGTGGAAGGAACTCAGGTTCCCTTTCTGACACTTGTTCTAAGAGGTAACACCAGGTTTCACACGTGGACCCTCATTTTACAGGAGATGTTCTGTTTCATTATGTACTTGAAATATGTGTTTATGTATCATAAAGACTTTTTATATGGAAGAAATATCAGAGCCTTTTGTCATTTACAGTTATGACTGATTTTTAGTGTAGAGAGTAGTCATAAGAGGACCAGTCATGGTGTTGAGCTGTCGTGCCATAGTTTTCGGTGTGATAATTTTTTAACTTTCTTTTGCATACAGACACACACATTTTTGTTCTTTGTGAATATCACATCATGCACCCCAATCCCACTCATCTCCTCCTCCCCTCATACCTGCCTTCCACCGTTGCAACCTCCCTCCCAACAGAGAAAAAATAATCTCGTTTTGGAAGCTGTGGTGTGTCACAGTGTGTTCCACAGTGCACACTTTTGTCCATGCTTCTTTGCTTGGAGACGTTCATTGCAATGACAGGTTGGTCTGGTAAGAGGCCACTGGCTTCTGCTACTCTATCAATACTGGATCCTCACGGAGACTCCTCTCAGATAGCCTCCCCTGTGTCACACAGATCCTGTAGTTTTGGATCTGTAGGCCTGGCCCCTCCATGCACTCCAGCAGTTCATAGATGGGGTAGACTTTGGGGTGGGCCAATCCAAGCCCCTAGATCTGGGCTGGAGAGCTATCTAAGCTGGTCAGCCCTCTGGCCCCCCCAAGGGCGGCTCTCCTGCAACACCTTGCAACCAGGCCTGTCTCTACCCTGTGCCCAGGCAAGGTGCAGAGCCCCTCTCGAGTACGTAGCAGGTGAGGGGCAGGGTCTGCTTTCCCACTCTGGTGATTTTGGGGCCAGCTCTCCTACCTGCCATAGGTAGCAAGGGGCAAAAGTTGGGAGGCATCTTTCACTTGTCCGAGTCACTAGATGGCAGACATTGGTGGGGCCAGCCCTCCCATTCTCACGCCTTTAGAGATGTGCTACGCTCCCGTGCTACCCAGGAGAGGTGCAGGGACCACTCCTGAGTACTGCAGGTGGTGGAGGGCAATGGGGGAGGGCATCTCTACCTCGTCCATGCCATTGCAGTGGAGACACTGTTCTTAGGGCCACTTCTCCCACTCTCATATCTTGGGGGCTGGCTCACCTGAGTACTGCAGCTGGATAGGGGCAGGCTTAGCTCTCCAGGTCTTACACCCCTAGGACCAGCTCTCCCATGCTGTGCAGGTAAGGGATGGGGCCAGTTCTACACAGCGCTCAGACCTCAACCGTCTCCGGGCAGCAACCCACACCAGAGACATCTGCCTGGCCTTTGGTGGTGACAGACTCCTGCTGCTGCAGGGCTCTAAACCCAGATGTGGCTGTGGTGGCAGCACAGGCCAGGACCCCACCATGGTCCCAGGTGGCATCACTGGCTACTCACCTTAAGCCATTCCTCACTGCCCTCCAGTTCTGCCTCTCTTCATTGTGCCCACATCCTTTTGTTTCTCTTTCTCTTCTATTTCTCCACCACTTACTTGCTTCTTTTAGTGGTGCCCAGTGTATCTGAATGTCTGGGCTTGTTGCAGGCGTGGTCTTAAGAGTAATATGTCCTGGTCTTGCATTGTGGTGCCTGGGAGGGGTCACCGTGGGCATGGTCTGGCACCCAGGCCTGTGCAGTGCCTGTCTGGTGGTCATCTCAGGCTGGCTCCTCACCCTGTCTGCGCAGGCAGCCCCATGAAAGGGTCATCTGTCCCTAGCTCACATCGTTTCTCTAGTCTCCAGTTTGCTCCCTGTCCTGGGACCCCACCCGGGCCTTTGGCGCACCACACTGCTGCTCATCTCTGACTCACTTTTTTAGAGAATGTTAGGCTCCTGATCATTCAGATGTCCAGCTGGGCATAGTGGCACTCCAGGAGACAGAGACAGGTGGATCTTTGTGATACAGGCCACCCTGGTCTATGAAGAGAGTCCAGGACAGCCAGGGCTACACAGAGAAACACTATCTCAAAAACTAAAAACAGGCAAGCAAACACAGGAATCATTGAGATGTTCTTAGGTCAGAACGCTGAGTAGACACAGCCCCTCCTCTCTGCCACTCACTGATGCGCACGTGGCACCCGGCCACACCTGTAACGCCGCTACGGGCATGGATTAGACAGTTTTTAATAGCAGTATTTTAAATTCTAGTTGACCCAAATACCCTGTAAAACTATTTATATTTTCATAAATGCTATTTTTTACTTCAAAATATTTTGAAATAGAAAAAATTTCCTCAAGAAATAGCCATTGTTTCTGTCCGTAACAGCAAGGAAACGGAATGAGCCTAGATGTCCGTAAGCAGGTAAAAGGACAGGACACTGTGGCACATATACACCTTGGCATTTTATTTGGCTGTAAGGAAAAATGAAATTTTCAGAAAAATGAATGAATCGTGAAATTATTAGGTGGGCTAACCAGACTCAGAAAGACGAAGCATGTTCTCTCTTATCTGTGGGTCCTAATTCTAAGTGGCATATATGTATACACATATTGGCATAAGTGCAGTAGGAATAGGTCATAAAGGTAGAAGGAGACCACAGTGGGAGGAAGTTTTCCGGAAGCAGAGAGAAGCGAATAAAGTGTGTGTGACGTGACACTGGTAAGGGGGCTACCAGTGATGGCAGGGTGCAGGTCCCGGGGAAGAGGGAAGGATCAGCCAAAACAACTTATATATGAAAATGTGGTAAAGAAGCGAATGGCCGTTGGGTGAGCCATTTATTACAGAATTTAAAAAAAGAAAGACATGAGATTGGCAGGGGGATGTAGTGAGGAAGTTGGAGAGGACAATAGTGAGTGATTATGATCAAAACACCTTGTTCTTGTGGATGAAATTCTCAAAGAAATAAACGTACTGTTTTTAAATGAATAATGGAATTCATTACTGTGTGTGCTACTTAGGGAAC